AAACTTTGTTCCCCTTTTTTGGCGTGGCCAATTAATAATAAATCGCGAGCCGAAAAAGGGAGACTAAAAATCAACGTCTAGCAAACTAATGATGCGCCTCATTTAAGCACCGAAAAGCAAACGGCAGGTCGACCACGTGTAACAACAAATTACCGCCACAAAGGCGAAAAACTTCCCAGATAGCCATCGACTAACCCAACAGGAAGGTTAAAGGTTAAAACTTGCCAAAGCGAAGGTAAACGGTTTCGCCAAACTTGAGAAAAGGGTCGTTGTCGGGGATTCTTGTGGACTTAGCGCTTGATTAAGCGAAAACCCCCTTAAAAAACCCCCTTACTACCCCCGAAAACCCGCAAAGTAACACCCATTGTGAACTGCTGATTGATAAGGTAAATTGGTGTTGGGATTGTTTTATGCATTCTTCAGCCCCCCCTCCCTTTAAAAAAAACTTTTGTTAGCCAATGCAAATTGTTTGGCAGGCATCTGCGATTTTTAATTAAAGCTACCATCATTTTATATCCCTACCATGGGTATTTATTTATCGCAAAAAACAATGGGGAAGTTAACTTTATATTCATATTTGAGTTTCAGTAATTTGCCTGTTTTTAAAGCAATCTGCTTGATATTTCTGGCAGGCCGTCAAACACACATATCCGTATATGTAAGTATAATAAAGTTAATTTCAACAAGCTTTTCATATTGTAGGAAAAGGAAAATGTGTATAAAAACGCTTCCTGCCGTCTTCCTTGCGGCGTAATTAAATTTTCTAATTGAGTTACCACTGAAATTTCGAAACAAGGGAGAAAAATATGATTGCCTTCTGCCATTTGAAAGCCACATTTTCCTTCCTCGACCAGGCAATCTGGCTGAAACTTTTACAATTCGCTGACTTTGCTAATAAATTATTGTATACCCGTCAAACTTTAGGCGCATAAAAAATACATTTTTTTGCCTTCTGATTTATTCGCAATGCACGAAAAGTGTTCCAAGTCATAATTTATGCTTGAGCATACACAAAAGAGAATTCCTCACTGCTTTTTAGATAATTGGTGATTTTATCAAGTCAGAAAATGCCATTTTAAGTGATGAAGAACTATGTTATTTGATCTACCGAAAAACGTAACTTGTTGTAGATGATACCTCTGGCAAAACCCATTTTTGAAGCCTCTTTCATCGAAACTGTTGACTTTTAAAAGCAACTCGCTTTCTCTGGTTTCCTTCCAGCTTTTCGAGCTTCATGCATAATTGGAGCACCATGTCTGCTTAAATGAATAAATTTATGTCATGAATTCAACCCTTGAATTTCATTTATATGTCTAGAGGTATTCATAACAGGTTGCGGTACGCAGCTATGAAGTTGGCTGGAAAGTATTCTTAATTGCTAGTCTACTTGTATTCTATGAAAGAATATTCTGGCTTTAAATAACTATTTTTATATAACTTTTAAGGTCTTCGCTGTACAGTAAAATTATTTAACTAATCGGAGCACGTTGGTCTAGATTAAAAGCTCTCCTAACAAAAACCTGGTAAAAAGCATTATATTTAAAAAACTTTTAAAGCTCTCGGACTCAAAAGTCAGATAAGATCGATTTAATCTTAAATTCTTGAATCTAAAAAATAATCTTGTAAAACAAAATCAAGACTACTTTCCTCTCTGTTTTAAGAGTGCTTTGTCTCCTCAAAGCAAACTTAAGAGTACTCTCGTCTTGATATCAAGAACGTTTCTTCTCGAAAAAGTGAATTTTCGATTTGAGAACATTTTTTACTTGATGTTTCTCGTCCTTAATTTTTGTAAATGTAAATATAATTTAAAATATATAATAATTGAATTATTCCTCCATTTACAAGAACCCTATTTGGTAACGAATTTGTTCCGAAAATTAAAGCCGAGGCAATCGCAACTCCTCAGTCTTTGTGCAGTCCCATCGTAGAGAGCTTGGATATAATGTCTACATGATTTATAATTATTAGAATTCGTTCACACACTATTACCCGTTGAATTTCAGTAACTAATAGGCGGCAACGATGATTAAAAGACTTAATTTGCCGCTAAAAGCTTGTTTTTCGCATGGAAATGGAAGAGCTCCTTGGGCGCCTGCAAGCTCATAGTTACTTTATTGGGTGTTTATTGAAATTTATGGATCGTTTGGCTCCGGTTTACCAAAGTTGAGTACTTTATAGGTTCGGCACAGTGTGTTGAATTTATGACTTGGCTTAATGGCTAATGTTGGCACTGCAATTGGATTAAATCGGCTGGCTCCTGGCTGGACATGGTTTGGTTGTGTATTTTGGATTATTAATCCAATTAATATGTTTTCTTGCCTTTGCATAAACACAATTATGCAATTTAATGTCTGCCAAATGCCTTAGAACGGATCTGGTAGCTCATTGTCAAGATGTTATAAAGGAATCTGTAGCTTGTTATCAAAATTCGAGATGCATGTTTCCGCCGTTTTGCATGTTGTGTCATGCGGTCAAAATTCAGGCTGAATTAAATCTCTTAATGAAATTCGAAATTAAATTTAATTATGCATTTATTACGCCATTCGACACAAAATGATTGTATTAAAAATTAATTCAATTGAAACATGGGGCATTTTAACATAATATTAAAACACGCTGTGTGCCGTACCGTAATGTGTTAAATGTAATATTTTATTGATTAAATCTCAGAGGACTGCCATAATTCAAAGGGTATGCTAAGTCCGCTGCCCTTGACGTTAATTGCCTATTAATTTGCAGCAACATTGCGGGAATTCTATAATTCAATGAAATTGAATGCTCAGTTGCAAAGTGTCAAGTGGCAAGCCAAATGGAGTTGCGAAAGTCATGTAATATGGAAAATCCACTCGCCATGAAAGCGGCCAGTTCAAAAGAGGTTAAAGTATGGGGGCCAAAAGCCGATGATGGCAGGCTACTAAATCAATAAAATGGTCAAGCAGTTGGCAGAGCATAAGTCGAAAACATAAACACATAAAATGCTGCTGGCCCATAAAAAGGAGCTTCCATTTCATTTGTAAACAAAGGCATGCCGTCCTCTAGAAAAATTTTATGCGGGCCGGGAAGTCTGATAGAAACCCCTGGCTTTTGTTAGCCCTGCTGAGCTTTTATTTTCGCTATGCTGGCTGATGTTTTAAAAAAAATAAAGCTAAATAAAAAATATTTTCTTTTGTCCCAAAACCCCAACACAGCTGTCCAGATAATGCGTCCATGAGTTGGCGAGATGGACGGCTGTTGGAAATCAATTTCAAACTGGGTCCAAATTCCGTTAAATAACTAAATTGTGGATTCATGACTTCCAATTTTCGGGCACCAATCCCAATAAATTGTTAATAAAGGGAATATATATAAAGAAGGCGGTATATACCAAATGCTACATCTGGCAACCCCATTACTCAAAGCATCGGCTTTAAATGCCTATCTGGCATCCCTATAAGGGGAAGCCCCTTAATTAGGGCAGTTGCAATCCGAGAAGTTTAACGAGTATTTAAATCCATTTATTGTAAGCTTCTTCTTTATTCTGTGTTTTACTTAATTACTTATATACTCAAGCAAACATATACCCATATAAACCTCTATCAATCTTTAAAATATAATATATAATATAGGGACAAGCTAAACGGAAACGTTTAAAAGGTCAAGCGGACAGCTTAATAACAGAAAAATCAACTATGTGGAAAACTGAGGAAATTATCCAAGGAGCAAAAGTGAACATCATCCACTATTTTATTTATTTTATTTACGCTTCATTTGATATCACATCTCATTCGGGCCTTTTTATTCCTTTGCAGAGTGCTAAGTTCCATTTCTCTTTGGGTTTTGCCCTCCCTTTAATTTATTTTTTTTATGTTGACAAGACAATTTGCAAGATACATACCAGTCATGTAACATAAGAAGTCGGCCCAGAACATACATATACACAAGAAATAAAATATTAATGCGGTAGATCAAAGAGAAGCATACCGTAAAACTTGCGAATTATTCCGCGCATACAAACGCCCAAAAGGAAGAACTTTTATTTTGTTTTCTGTTTGTTGGTCCAAAAGTCAATTTATGGTTTTCCACCCGCATAATTTCATTTTATTCTGCTGTGCCATATATATTTTTTTCCACCGATTTTTGTTTGTTCATATGAGTGAATTATGTGAAAAGCGCGTATTTGTTAAGGTTCGCCTCGGAGGTTGTGCATTTTGTTTTGTTTAAATGAAGGCTTTGTTAAAATAATTTTACCCATTAAATATGTTTTTATTTTCGCGCTGAAAGGCGGTCATCAATTTTTCAAAAGCCGCCTGTCTACAAAAAACCATATTGAAAAAATCTATAGCCTGGCAACTCGATTATACTAAATTAATCGGAAATTATTATGAAGAGATTAAATTTATTGACGGCTTAATATTAAAGCGATTTTAAAAGTTTAAAAAATGCACAGCCCTGTTTTTACCTTTGCCGTATTTTTAGAAAATGCCCAGCAAGGTGAAAGAAAATAAAACATATTTTTATATCGCCGTTATGGGATGAGGTAAACTGCTGACAGCGCTGACCAGAAACTGCATCGCCAAAGCCATTTATCAAAACTAATAGCCGTTAGATAAGGCGTGAAAAAGTGGAAAACGCTGGGACGAAAGTAAAACCATTAAGGGGAAAGCGATCAGAAGTAAGAAAGGCGAACTAGCTTCGAAAAAATAAGGCATATCGGAAGTGGGAGTAGCCCCTAAAAACATTATAATGGAGTGCATTATGTTTGCTCTCAGCAAACTAACCAATAATGTGACAGGCATTTATTGAAGAAAAATAAAAAATCTAACTGAACAAGCCTAAGATCTCATTTAGGAGCATGAAATGGACCCAATAGATCTAAATAAGGATCCTGTAAATCATTATAATAGAGTACAATATATTTGTTCTCAGCAACCTTACAATTAAGGTGACATCTTACAGTTGAAAAATAACAAATCTAACCAAAACCAAGTTTAAGATCTCCTTTAAAAAGAAAAAAGAAAATATGGAACCAACAGAACTGAATACAGATGGTAGTACGAATATGCCACAACCCAGGTGTATTATATTTGAGCGAGATAACCCTAATATTCCCCAACTATATAATGTCGTGGGCAACCTAGCCATTGAATATTGGAATTGGTTTCTCGGAAAACTGGAACAGCTAAAAAATCTCTGCTTTCGACCCATATGCAATTTAAAGTTAACACTATCTGCAGATCCTGAGATTCTGGATAGGATTAGCCAAACAAGAGGATGGAATACGGCGGCCTTTCGATGCATAGAGTTCCATCCGAAAATTTCCTTAATGGCCTTAGTGACTAATCAAGATATTATTCTGATCCATGATGGAAGAAGAAGCAACACACACACCAATCTACAGAACTTTCATCAAAAGGACATCACCTGTGCAGTCTTTCGTCCTTGGTCACCGGTATGCGAATTAGCCGTAGGATGTGCTTCGGGGGTATATTTATGGAGGGAAAGTGGAAGGTCCAACCACAATATTCGCCACATGCTGGGCACCCACCTCATGAGAGTCCTGCAGGACGAGGGGCACAACTATGTGACCTCGCTGCAGTGGAACGAAGATGGTACCATCCTGATCAGCGCCGCTTTGGGCTCATCACATATCATCCTTTGGGAACCGGACTGTCAGCAGAAGATTCGCTTGATTCCAGCTCCCAATAGCCTGAGCTCCTTTTCGCTACTGCGATATAGTCCCGATTTCCAGGTACTTTTCTGCGCATCCTGCGATGCCGGTGCAAGTCTATGCCAGTTGAATAGGTCGAAGTGGAAATCGGAACAGGTCCTCATGCGGAATCGCATTCAAACGGCTGTCTGGACCACTTGCAGTTCATATCTGCTGTTTGTGCGGGAGGGCAGTACTCGTGTTTACTCATGTACCAATGATGGGGAATCAACGATTTTTCTCCGCCCCAAACCCCAATGGAGGGTCGAATTGGTGGTGGACCTGCAGGAGGTCACAACTTGTTCCGGGGAGCAGAGGTGCTGCGGTGAACCCCACACCTTCGCCATGGATCCCCTGGGCCTCTACATGGCCATAATCTTCAAGCAGCAGTCCTTCGTCCTGCTCTGCCTTTTGGCCAATTTCCGACTGGGTTCACCGCGTCTCCTGCCCCTTGAATTTATAAATTGCGATGCCGATGGCGAGGAGTACCCAACTTGTATGGGATTTGGTATATCCGATCCGCAAACTCGATGTCTGGTGATTTGCTGGAACTCGGGGCATATTCAGCGATATGTACTAACTGCAAAGTGCTGGCAAGAGGCCCAGGTATTACATAATATAAAGTAATGAAGAATAAATCAAGTCATCAAAATCAGAGAGAATTAAAACAACAAACGAGTTCCGTTTTATAATGTTTATAATACGAAATATCCAAAAGAAATAATCGATTAAGGTGCAAAACCAATTATTTATAAGAATTATTACGAGCCAACTGGAAGAGAAAAAATATACCTCTTATAAGGTATTTTAAAATATTCATAAAATCATTTAAAAGTTATTTTAGACAGTATTTATGTTTGCATAACAAAGAAAATATATTATTTTTAGCAACATTTTGAAGAAAGAATAATACAATTTATTATAGGCATTACTATCCCTATCACGCTTCATACAGATATATTTTTAAGATCTATTCCATTTTAAGGTAATAATTATTTATTTTTGTATATTTAAAGCACACAGATATTTTTTAAAACTCAAATAAGCCCACATAAGTATCCGGGAACACAAATACAGTGTAGATTTCCCACATAATATTAGATAAATCTGCTAATCTTTAGAAACAAATAGAGAGTTGAAAAGAAATATAGTATTTTATGCTAGGATTGTAAATGGTGTTGTCTCTATAATGGCATCTCTATTTTTCTTTTCCCAAAATTGTCGATATTAAATTTTCATTCTCTCACATGAATATTCAGCGGAAGCGCTTATGCAAATGGAAAATAACTCAAGTCGGCGAGCAACCAGTTTTCCAACCCGATTCCACCATCGCCCACCTGAAACCCACGAATGTCGCTTATTCCGCAGGTATTTTCATTCACCTGACAGTCGTGAAGTAAGCTTAAAGGCAATAAATCTTTGCCTCGATTTCTGATTGCAGACCGAAAAATTGGTTTTACACAGATTTAACTCCTTTGTAATTGACGTTTTTTGTTCTGCGAGGGCAAATCGTTGATAAGGGAAGGTTACGCGATTGAAAATAATTTTATCATAGTGCCCAAAATAACCGATTGTTTTAACGAAAAAAAAGGTTCAATTGGCAAACGACTTTTTGCCGCAATCATAAGAATATGTATATGCTTAATGTCCTGGGGCTTTTTTATTGGAATGTTCGATTTTCTGGGCTAAACTGGTCTTTAACGACTCCCCTGATGCTCAAACATGGCGAGGCACGTCCCAAAAAGGCACAGAAAAAATAAATTAATGCAGTCTAACGACCAAATCTCAATGGATATTCACGAATCAAAGTTAATCTAAGGTCCTAATGGAAATTGATTTCATGGCTTATTTGCTGGGACTCCGAACTGAAACATTAAATGATTTAATATTAGTTTTAAAAGTCCAATCAAATCAAGTGAGTCCAAACCATCTGACCAGGTAAATATTAAAAACAAAATGACAGACTTCAACTTGCAATCAAGAGCGTTTACCCACTTGGCCATTTCAATATTGGCCAACTAACAACAGGCCAAAAAAAAGAAGGAGCTTAGTAGGAATAATCTGGAAAGAAAGCAAACCGAAATCGCAATCTCAATTGCGTCCACTCATCTTCAAACCAACATTGACTTTGGTCTGCAACTTTCCTTAGGTAAACATCTTAAAACCCAAATGCCTTTCCTCCTATAAAGTAATTTCTGGGGACCAAAAAAGATATTGCGCTGACCAAAGCGGAAAAAGCGCAAAAACATGAATGCAAATAAGTTCTCCAACAATGGGCAATATTCGTGAATCACTTAAGTTCCATAGACCACAAAAGTTGGTAGTCTTTGTTGTGGAATCGTTTCGGACCCATCTATTCGTATATGTAGCAGAACTAATGGAATTATCGGACTTACGTAGTAGTCAGTTGCCCTAGAAATAGCCTGGCATATTTGAAAAATACAAAAGCCGTCTTAAAATCAACATTTTTGTTTCGTTACTGAAGTTAAGACCAAAGCAAATAAACAAAATGAGTTTTTACTGCTTGAAAACAAAAACACACACGAGTATTAAAAACTCTAAGGGCCGTAGCATTAAAGTTTAATGTTGGGAGTGAAAATGTGTAGCCATAAAAATCATTTAAATGTTTGTTTGTTTTTCGGAGACCCAGATATCAACCCCATCCCCTCACATTGTCAACGTGTGAAAATGCCTGGGGGAGAAGGCATATTAATAATCTGACAAATCCATGTGATACTTTAATTTGTTAAAAAAGGTTTGGTTTGAAAAAGAAAACCATATTTATTATTTGGGGGCACAGCTGAACTAAATGAAAAATGGTATATTAAGTAAAAGAAAGACTCTCTGAAGAGATATATGGCCGCCCTATATGGAGAACACCTTCCTCACAATCACCAAATCCGTATAATCCAAGTAATACTTTAACATGTTTTATAAAGTTTTGGCTTAACAAAAACATTATAATTAATATCATTGTTGGAATTGCTTTACAAAATATAAAAATATTTTAAAGGAAGTCTCTTCGAAGAACAAATATTATTATCTTCCTTACATAGAAAACACCTTCCAATCAACCAATTCCATATAATCTGAGTTATACTTTAACGCGATTTTCAAAATTTGGGTTATACCAAATTTAAATATTTAATATCAGAACAGAAAAAGATTATTATAATAATTTAAAGGAAGACTCCCTGGAGAACAAATATTATTACCCCGCCTTATATTGAAAACAACTCCCTTACAAACAACCAAAACCGTATAATCACAGTGATACTTTAACATGTTATGTAAAGTATTGGCTTAACAAAAAAAAAATAGATTTCATATCACAGGGGGAAAAGATAAACAGAATAATAATATTTCAAAGCAGGACTCTCAAAACAACAAATGTTATCAATCCGACAATAAACCATATCTGTGTAAAGCAAGTGATACCTTAATATGTTTTATAAAGTTTTGGCTTAACCAAAATAGAAAATGTAATATCACAGGGGGAATATCTAAACAGAATGTAATAATATTCCAAGGAAAGTCTTTTAGAAAAACAAAAGGTATCACCCCTCCTATTATGGAAAGCACATCCCTCGCAATCAACCAAATCCGTATTTATTGTTTTACCATATTTTGCTCAGGCATCAAAAATACAATTTAATGCAATGAATGCGACTTGCCAAAACGGCAAAGTTGGCAATAATTTTGTGCAGACGTGGTGTAAGCCTTGATATGCTGACAATGTGAGCGTTGATTTTTTCTGTCAGTTCTCCAAAGAGAACTGTAATAACAAAAGGACCCAAGAAGGCAAATGCCAAGTACACGCTAGACATACCAAATAACTTTACTTATTTTTATGTTCTTTGTGTGGGGTGGCAAGGAATGGGACCTACGGATTACATATTTTCACCCAACCCGGGAGATTCTGGATGATTCCTGGTTGGGGGGACGTGTCTCAAATGGCGTAAACGCAGAGCAATCAGCAATGAGGCATCAATAATTCTTAACGCGTTTGCGGCACTTTCGGTGTCGGAGCGGTTAGGAATTCGCTTTGTTTTCATTATAGGATCGAAAACTGGTGGAAAAAACGCGACTTGGCCCATTAAAACTAAAGTTTTTCCCCAAATTCTCTACGTTCCACGTTTAACTTTTCCCATGACCTAAGCGAGAGTCCTGTGGTTTTTTGATTTATGGTCCCCAATGGCGGGCCCCCAATATTTACGCCCAGCAGCCCATCTTCAGCCGAGTGTTTTGTTTCGTAATCACGTTTTTATCTTTTACTAAACAACTCATGTATACGGCCGCGTAAAATTTTTCTCTACCATTTTTGGTTTGTTTTTTTGGCAAAGCCTCTCACGTCGAGATTATTTAAAAATAAGGAAAATGATGGCACATGGCGCGTCAGGGCGAAACTTGTTTACCATCAAGTATATAATGAATCTTGCTGTGGAAACCGATAATTGACAGGAAAAAAAAGATTTCGCAGTTGCCAGGAGGAAGACAAAGTAAGTGTCCTTAGGCAAACCGTTCACGTAGAATGCTCAACTCAGTGTGGATGATTTTAATAGCCCCAAGCATCCAGGCATCCAGGTATCCTAGGCATCCCCAACTGCAATTGGTAATGTAAGTAAGTAACCAAAGTTCTCAAGTTTTTCCCCAAGTGATGTCATAAGCAGTCCAACAGTCCTGTAAAATTTGTGAATGTTCTAGTGTAACTTTTTGGGCAAAAACTTGTGAAATGCTTTCCTGATTGTGAGTGCAACGGGAAAGTTAGTAAGGTGAGTAGTAAAATATTTTCATTTCCACTAACCAGCCATATGTTATATCTTATTTACTGTTTAGAGGGCTGAAACTGAAATCATCACTGCGTTAAGTGCTGATAAATGCCATGCCAGGCGTGCCCTCAAATGTAGGCAATAAAAAATAACATTTCTTTGAAAAACAAACAAAATACATTTTCACTTTGACCAATAAACAAACAAGCTCTGTTTTATTTTCGGTTTAATTAAAATTTATGCATGTTGAATGCGACATCATAGATTACGGATGTTCGGTGGCGCACACAAAACCCGGCTATATATTTGAATTTTTGCTCAAAAATCAATGGGCAAACTATAGCCTGTTTGGCTTTTTATTCTTTCTGGGGACTGCAAAAAGTCAACAGAAAGCGAGGCGAGGAGCCAAAATAAATTTCCAGCCGCAAATCCTTGACAAATCTGCTGCATTGGCTTTGGCGGCCGTCCTTTCGAGATAAATCTTTATTGCCTCATTTTGCTTAAAGTTGATTCTATTTTTATACGCTGCCGAAGGGTGTGTTTGTACTTTGATTTCTAAAGACCTTTTGACCTTTTACGAAACTACTTATTATTTTTGAGCCAGCTAAGCGCCGATTTCTCAATGTCCGGTTAAGGTTCTAGTTTATTATCTGCCAGTTAAAGTTATCATGAACATTTCAAGAGTTTGTTATCAAGCGCTATAGTTTTATATTCAGTCTGACAAGCCAAAAAAGATAAGTTTCGTTTTTTCGACCTAAATATTTAACTACAGCATTGCCTTAATAGCAAAAGTTAACATGACATTGAGAAATCGAACCTAAGAAGTGTTTTTAAGTGCCCCTAAGAAATCTATCAGTTTTTTTTTAAATCTAACAAACTAAAAAAAGAAAAGTTACGTATTGTCGACACAGAATTTTAACAAGATCATTGCCTTAACAACAAGAGTTAACAATACATTGAGAAACCGCACCTGAAAAGTGTATTTAAGTGGCCCTAAGTCGTATATCAGGCGATTAAGTTCTTCATACTAAATCTGACAAACCCAAAAAGAAAAATATTTTTTTCTTCGGGCGACAAATTGAACTATATCATTGCCATAATAAAAAAATTTAACCTGACATTGAGAAATCGGACCTAAGAAGTGTATTTAAAAGTCCACGGCAGTTTTCCCCGTCGCTTTACACGAGTTACATGTATTTTTTTCCAGGCATTCTATTTACATTCTAGTTTTTTTGGCCAAACTAACACAGTTTGTGGCAGTGTCTTCGGAGTGCGGCCAAAAAGACAATGGCCCAGAGATAACATGGCTGACGAAGAGCCCGCATTGAAACCGGAGTCAACAATGGCAAAACGACTACATCAAGACAAAACTTTTCAGGAAAGGAGACGAAATAAAAACCTTAAGTATTTCAAACAGCCTGGAAGAACCGGAAAATATGATATGTAGACGGGTAAACTTATTTCGCGACCGTTAAAACCCTAACGTTAAGTCGACAGTAGACTGTTTTCCTTGGATTTACTTATTTATAAAGGGTTTAAGAAATACAAAAAAATATGTACCGAATATTATACTTACATTTTGGCTATATCTCCGACATGCGAATATCCTGTTTCGTGGAGGCACCTTGAGTAAGTATAACTTAAATACAACCGGATGAAATTATGAAGTCCCGGATGCTGTGCAAACAGCCACTGACAGAATCCAAAACTTTATGTTTACTTTTCCGCAGCTGACGCTTTTCCCGCCGTTGGCTTTTCATACGTAGATTGCTCACACAGTTTCCATATTATTTTATTTTATTTTTACTGCTGAACTTTGTACAGACACTTCCTTGTTATTCTTTGTCCAGCACGGAAATTAATTTAATTACTTTTGCTCTGTGTATGTGTATTTAACATTTAAGGGAGCCTTTAATAGCCGATTCGCATTAATTGTCCGCTAATCAGGTGCAAAAATAAACATAAAACTGTCCCGCAGTGCAATTCAAAATGATACATTATCCGCATATCGAAATTAATCCTTATGGATGGGGAAATGGGCAGCACGTGCATCTGTTGTCATATTATGGATAATGTAACTACAGCTCAAAGTGAAGTGAACCTGATTCGAATTCAATTGGGAAATTGAATTTCCATTTGATTCAGTTTGCATGGAACTACTATATTCAATTGAGTGCAATCAAAGGCAAGATTGTTTGGGAATGCTCCAAAAGCAAGAGGGTCATATTCGGATAATGAAATCATGTAGTGGGGTGTATGATTTACCATCTGCCTAATGAACTTTAAGTTGGTCTAGAGAACTCTGTCTGAGGAATTATAGAAATTTTAAGTTGAAGAGAGCTTGTTTCAAAGCAAGAGGGTCATATTTAAATAATAAAGATGGTTTTATTTAGATTATGAAATGCAGTGGGGTATATGATATACCATCGTTGGTCTACGGAACTCTCCCTGTGAAATTGCTATATATAAACTAACGAATTGTAGAGTTTTTGGTTGAAAACTATCTGACTTTCATAATTATTTGTTGCAAAGCAAGAAAGTAATATTCAAATACTGAAAAATGCATTGAGTTATATGGTTTACTATCTGCTGATAAACTTTAGCTTGCTCTAAAGAACCCCCTGAGAAACTGCCATAAACTAAACTAATGAATTGTAGAATTTTTTGTTGAGAGCTGTCTGAAAAATGCGCCAGCACACATATACTTTCAATGGTAAACCGATGTTTTGCTGCGCCTGACAGGCTGCAATAAAAAAGCACGGCCACGTACGCAAACATATAGAGCGGCATAAAAATGGCGAGGCAATGGGAACCGGAAACGGAAACCCCCCTCTGAATGGGGGGGGGGGGCGGTAGGCGAAAGCGAAAGCCCGGGCAAACCGCTGATGTTCAAACAATAAAGTTCAAGGGTATTACAAACAGGGTTTCAGAGCCACACACTCGCGTGTGCTTAAAAATGAGTAATAGGGTTTGCAAGTTGGTTGCTTTTCTGCAAGGCCCCCGACCACGCCTACTTTTGGGTCAAGTCGAGGGCGGCTTGGGCTGTTTGCTTTGGGGGCTAATGGAGCCTAGTGTTTACCGAATTTTAATTATGCTAATGCGAGGCGTAAGCAACACCAAGGCAGGTGTATTCATCTGTGAATGGTGTATTATTCCTTGAATAATACGAGTAGCAGTAGTTCTACCTTGCTCATTTGCCTTCTCCTTTAGAGCAGAGTTCTACCTGGTGTTTTACGGCTTTAATTTCCGGAACAACGGAACTACCAAGAACAGCAGCGATTATCTTTCACGTCCGTTAATTGGAGAAGACTCAGCTCTAATTAGAAGCGGATTAAGGAGTTAACAGCAGCTTTGTCTTATCTGAACACGGTGTTAAATGTTTTCAACTTCGATCGATTTGTATAGAAACCATTTATCACAATGAATACAAAAAATTTAAATCCACAAAATGTTATACACATTGTAGGCAATGGCTTTTCACGCCTTCTGCATATTTTCACAACTAAATTCGCTTCTAAAATAAACCTAGACTTTTTATTTCCATTTGGTACTTCCGCACAAAATATAGGTTTGCAAAATGTTCGTGAAAATAGAATTTATCATTCGAAACCGTAGCTTTTAGCGCATTCATTTTGCTATTAGAAAACAATAAATACATTTTTATAATTGATTGATGGCTTATCTGTTGGCGAATGCCACTAATCAAAGGCCACTAATTTAACTAACGAACCAGCAAATAAAATAGAGCGCACTTTTTCGAGGATGGGACTTTGCGGCAGGCAAAAATAATCCTGAAAGCGGGGTTTATGCGTAAACGCTTGAGTTAGGTCAGAACCGGAAACTCGTTGAATTTTCATGGATAGATCCGCAATTTGGACTCACAGTTTGTTCAATTACAGGCTACGAACACTCCGCAAACAATTTGCATATTTAATTTTTGGGGCCGACACCCGAGCCAAACTATCATTTTTTGTTAATTGAAATACGCCGAAATTCACGTATCACGCGGGGCGAAATCACGGACGAGTTGAAAGGATGGCCAGGATAACGAGCCGCGAGGATAACCGCACTTTTAGCCAGACGCGAAGGTACTGAACACAGCGCCCGGAAGACGGCAACGCCTGGCATTCGAAAGCGCAACAGCATCTGGAATCCGCAGGACAGGGTTGTTCCTGTCCGACGAGCAAGGACGACGAAGGACGACCCATGCCGAACATCCTTCGGATGGATGCTGTTCGTCTGAACGCTCTCAGGGAAAATCCTGCAGATTCAGCGCGGCTCTCTGCCGAAAGGATGCCGCTTACTCGTTCAGTAGGTCAGAAACACATCCGAGTTCCACAAACAGACGAGTCCTGAATAATTGGCAAAGAGATCAGTTTGTAGGTTGTTTTTCAAAAAGTTGGATTCTTTTTCTTTTTTTGTCCTTAACTTGATATGTTCTTTTTGGCAACTAATAAAAAAAAATAAAGGCTATATTGAAACATCGCAATCTAGAGTATCTATGTGTAGAAATAACTTAGAAAGATCCATTAAAAAAATTCATTGTAAAAATAACATATCATGTTATAAAATAAAAGTTGTAATATTATCCAGTTTTAGAAATTGAAGGTAGACTAACGTAATTAAAGTTCAGCCTTGCAAACTTGGTTCACATAAACTATTTACATATCTTAAATAATAATAATAATTAACTACAAACTCCAATATAAGATCAAGTTTCCATAAGCAGTATTTCCATCTTTAACAAATAAAGTTTACTATGGAACTGGATCTTTTTCCGTATAGCTCTATTGACGTCATCGTTTATGTTTTACATTTATGTTATATACATTATTATTAAATACATTTATCAGTACCAGTCCAAACCTCATCGAGTAAAGACGTGCTATCAGCAGAACTCCGCGAGTACCAGCAGTTACAAATACAAAATTCAGACAATTTTTGTAAACACAAACAAGTGCTCAAAGAAAATTTCAAAAAAAAAACCCAATAACAAAAATCACATCGCAACCGTTACAAACGCGCACAAGTGCCTTGTGCAGCGGGCGGCAGCCCAGGCACAACAACAATGCATCGTCCACCGGACTTAGACTTCCCCCCTCTGTCTACAAGAACAGCACTATTCGAACCGAAATTTCTCACGATCACCAGAACGGACAATGAGACATTTGAAAAAGTATCACCATTCGTGATTAAAAAGGTCATTGACTTCACCTGCGGTGGCGAAGTGGAGTCTTGTAACAAGAATAGAAACGGAACCTTATTAATTAAAACCAAAGGCGCAAACCAGGCATATAGACTATTAAAGCTAACGCAATTCCACAACTTCACTGTTTCCGTAACCGAGCATGAAACTCTAAATTTCTCAAAAGGAGTCATCTACTCTAATGAACTTCGCAACATAGATGAATTGGATATACTAAACGAGCTTAAGTCGCAAAAGGTAACCAACATTGAAAAAATACGTATCATGAAGAACAATATTCTACAAGAATCAGGACTCATAACCGTCACTTTTGGATCAACAACTCTACCCGAAACCTTGATGATAGGATACGAGAGAGTTAGAGTTCGACCACATATTCCACGCCCACTGAAATGCCGTAACTGCCTGAAGTTTGGACACCCGACCAAATTCTGCAGAAGCCCCAAAACCTGCTCCAACTGTTCCGCAGAAGCACACACCACAGAGGACACCGAATGCGACAAACCTAAGTTTTGCATAAACTGCAAGTATGACATAAACAACCAATTCAATCACAGCCCACTAGATAAAACATGCCCCGCCTTTATAAAACAAAAAGAAATAACAACAATAAAAACCCTACAAAAAGTTGACCACAAAACCGCCACAAGAATATATAATATGCGCCACATCCATCAATCTACTCCGTACTCCAAGATAACGTCCACCAATCAACCTACGACCACTGTAAACGAAGCCCAAAAGACTACCAGCACCCAAGCACCTACCAGCACAAGCACCAACCGTCAGTTAAGGTCATACACCGACATCATGGATCACCAACCCACCACTTCGTCCAAACGCACCGTCATTGAAGAAATGGAGACTGAGATTTCATCAGATTCCACTACGACCATCCCAAAGAAGAAGATGACTGAATCCGACCGTAAGCTTAGAAGCCAAAATAATAATAAGACAAACCTAACATCAAAACCTTCTCTCAAAGCCAAAGATAAATCAGACAAATCAAAGCCTATAAATACTACCAAATTAGCCAACGAATTAAGTAGACTAGCCAATCACAACAGCTCTGAGGAAGAACTTTAAGTAGATATTTAAAAAAAAAAAAAAACTATTTAAATAATCACAATGGTATTAATCCTGCAATGGAACTGTAACGGTTACATAAACAATTACGACCAACTACAATTATTACTTAAATGTTATAACCCAAAAGCCATCTGCCTGCAAGAAACCCATTTACATTCCCTTAATAACATTCCCATCCCTATCAACTTCACGTTCATACATAAAAACACATCAAACAACTCCCACGGTGGAGTAGGAATTCTAATCCACAACTCAATTCAAAACGAACAAGTTAATCTTAACAACGATTTCGAATCTGTAGGAGTTATTATTCACTCCAAACAAAAGCTTCGACTCATATCCACTTACATTGCCCCAAACAAGAATTTTGAACTACGAAATTTAGAAAATATGTATGGTAATCCCAATGAAAATACCATCATAGCAGGTGACTTCAACAGCTGGCACCAAAGCTGGGGATCGCCTAACAATAATAGAAAGGGATGTACGATTTTTAAATACATTTCACAATCTAACCTAATTACCCTAAACGATGGCTCCCCAACCCATTTCTCAACTCACCATACAATGACACATGTGGACCTAACAATAATTACCCCGAACCTCGCCACTCAGACCAAATGGAAAACCGATCATGAACTCTTCGGTAGTGATCATTTTCCCATCCATATTAATCTTTTTGATAATGAAAATTCCAGTAAAAGCTACAAGATCCCCAGATACAAACTTGAAACCGCAAACTGGCCCCTCTTCACATCACTCACAGATATTTTTCACAACAAAAGGCCACCAAGCAGCCAAATAAATCAAGAAGCCGCCAACATTATAAAAATAACCCATCAAAGCGCAAGTACAGCAATCCCGCAATCAAACCCAACATTTAATAAAAAGAAAACCGTCCCTTGGTGGAACACATCCCTCGAACAACTTAGAACCAATAAAAACCAATCATGGTACTTGCTAAGAAGAAGTATATCTCTCGAAAACATCATACAGTTCAAGAAAAACAAGGCTTTGTTTAGAAGAGAACTGAAACAAGCAAAACGCAGTTCTCTGCAAAAGTTTACTGCAGAAATAAACCCCAATTCAAGTCCCTCAAAAATCTGGGCAAACATCAATACATTCTGCGGAAGAAAAACCAGAAATGATATACACTGCTTAACATCCCCCTCAGATCCATCTATAAACATTATAAATTCAGAATCCATAGCCCAAGTCCTCGTCACTCACTGGTCAGAATCGTCTTCGGACTCTAAATTTACCGATTTATTCCAAACTAATAAGAACAGAGTCTACTCAATGAATCTATCCCACAATCCATCACCGGAAGCAATTTCAATAGAATCTAAAATCACATTGATTGAGTTCAAAGCAGCTCTAAACAGCCTCAATGGAAAGACACCCGGTCTTGATCGCATTTCATACCCAATGATTAAAAACTTCAGTCAGCCATTAACAAGCCGGTTAATAAATTTATACAACAAAATCCTAGACAGCCACATCCCTCAGCAATTTAAAAACAGTATTGTAATACCGATCCATAAACCCAATACTCCCAAAACATCTGTAACCTCGTATCGTCCCATATCGCTCAACCCTTGTCTTTCGAAGGTGCTAGACAAAATCATAGCAAACCGACTCTGGTGGCTTGCAATAAACTGCAAACTCCTCGATAGTCGACAGCTCGGTTTTCGAAAGGGCATGTCCGTATCTGAATGCCTAACTCTGTTAGACTACCAGACTACCGCAGCCCTATCAACCAGAAGCCACATTTCAATTATTAGTCTCGACTTCGAAAAAGCTTACGACAAAATAGGAATTCACGCAATAATAGACGAGTTACAGAGATGGAGAATCGGACCAAAATTGTTGAATTACGTAAAAAACTTCCTAACCAATCGCAAGATAAAAGTCAAAGTAAGAAACACTTTTTCTGAAGACAGACCACTGTACAATGGGATCCCTCAAGGTTCACCACTGTCCGTAATTCTCTTTTTAATATCGTACAACAAACTGTGCCGCACCATTGAAGTCCATAGGGGATTCAAATTCTTTTCCTATGCAGACGACTTCACTATACTGAAGAAAATTCATAATAATGTAAACACAATGTCTATAAACAGCCTATTCACAGACATTTTAAGCTGGTGTGACTACTCAGGAGCGAAACTCTCTGTGCAAAAATGCAAACATCTGCATATCTGCCGGAAGCATAGGTGTAATTTTACAATCACATCACAAGCATACCCTCTTAACCAAGCTAATTCCCTCAAAATCCTTGGCCTTACCATATCAAGTAGATACAGGTGGAAAGATCACATAGACACTCTGGCAGTAGAACTATCAAAAAGACTCAACATAATTAAATGGTTAGGCAATCGTAGATACAACTGCGACACCAGATCTTTAATAAATACAATAAACGCTCTTGTTATGTCCAAGATCGACTACTGTCTCCCATTTTATGGGAATTGCCCTCTCTCTTGTCTAAGAAAACTCAAAACTATCTACCATGCAGCTTTAAGACTTGCTTTTGGAGCACCACGCACAACTCCAATCAACAACCTTCTGATTGAATCCGATATTACACCTATCGAGATTAGAATTGAGCTGACCACTGCGCGGATTTGTAAGGTTTTCACATTCGCCAAAAATACGCCACTTCAAACCGTCCTCCAAAAGATAAAGAACGCCAAAAGAACACCCAGAATACCTTCAATCCTACATAAAGCGTTAAAATTCGTTCTCGAAAATGGAATAAACTGCACTTCAGTTAAATTAAGGAAACAGAAACATCCACCATGGTCCTTCTCAGAAGATAAAATAGACTTAACACTACATTACACAACTAAATCGAACACTCCTACAACTGTTTTCCAAACAAAATTCCTCTCCCTTAAAGATCTCTACAATAACTACGCATTCATATACACAGATGGATCCAAATCTGGGCACGGAGTATCTTATAGCATCACTACGGACACACGCATCATTAAAACAGCACTCCTACCAGCACACAGCTCTATCTTCACCGCAGAAGTGGCAGCTATTTATGCAGCGTGTGATTACGCTGTATCACAAAAGAAGAGATTCGTCATTTGCTCGGACTCACTATCGTCACTGCAATCAATAGCCAACATAAGCAACCAATCCTTCTACACCGCTCGAATCAGAGATATTCTCAACAGCCATCAGTCGTACATAAAATTATTGTGGATCCCAGGACACACAAACATAACTGGAAACGACACAGCTGACGCAGCTGCCAAGGAAGCTCACTTATTTCCACACCTCTACGAAAACAATTACAACTACAAGGACACACAACTATTTATCAAACAGAAATTCAAAAAACAATTCGCATCTCTATGGGAAAACACTTCAGACCACTATAAACTTATAAACCCCAACAAACTATCTCTAAAAAATTACAACATTAAAGCAAACGATATTAATCGCCAAGACTTGATTAAGTTTTCAAGACTAAGGCTGGGACACTCCAAGCTCACGCACGAACACATAATAAACAAACAAGCAGCACCGCAATGTGAGCGCTGCAACACATCGATCACAATCAAACACATTCTTCTAGAATGTTCTCTCTTTCTATCGGAAAGAAACAAGTTCCTACCCTCAAATCCATCTGAACTCCTTACCCCCAACACCCTAAACATCAAAGCTTCCATGAATTTTCTAAAGGCAATTAAATTATACCATGCAATTTTAAACCTAGACATAGTCTAAATGTAAAAATGTAAATTGTAATATATCAAACGTAGCTTAAGGCCACAGTAGCTATAGCTACAATAAAAGCATAGGCTATAGGCAATTTCAATTGCCTTTTAGCCTGAGAATAAATAAATAAATAAATAAATAAATACATTTATACCTTTCTATAAATACACTTTTTTTTTGATTTTAATGAAATGCCGCCTCTTAATATCCTTATGACTTAACAAGTTTACAGCAGTCAGTTCAATGTTGTGTACAATGTACATTGTACATACGTATAAATACTTAACTCTCACTTTGTAGTATTGGTTCAGCCATCCTGATAATTTAATAAGTCTGTTTTATTTTTATACGATAAGTATTGTGATACAAATGACCCTTGACAAAGGAAAATACACATAAATAGTGGTGCTTTCATGTCGACAAAAACATAGCTCTATAAAAAATTCTTGAAAATGCATTCAATTGTGAAATCTCAATGGATAAAAGTAATATATATGATTAGCCGCTACAGCTTGATGTAGATGTGTATATACTTATGCGAGGGAAAAAGTGATGGGGTAAACAGTTACAAAACATCATGGTCGTATGGCCGGCTGGATGTGTAAGACATTTACGAGCGTTTGAATTTGACAGATTTCTTTTATTAGAGCGACAGACAGCGTCAAAGGAACTGGCAAATCGCTCATGCGTGCAAAATCCGAGTGCGGCTGGCTATATCCCATATATACTACATATACCCTATATATATATGCTCTAGCTGGGGGTTCCGAGTACAATTTAATAAAAACAAACAACTTCAGAGGCCCTCAGGCGATTGAAAATCCCTATGAAGACGTCATAAAATCTTTTATGCAGTTCAGCGCATTTCCTCTATACACAGAGCAGATAAATAGATTAGGGAACTTTGGAAGTAGACGGGCCCCTATTAACTTATGCACTTTACTTCTCTCACACTTTCGTGTTAGTTTGGTAATTAAAAGTACATAATAAATTAGCATTAACCTAGAAGTTTGGGGCTTAAGTTTTCCCCTAACTCACATTAAGAATTAATTAGACGAAAAGTTGCTGGCTTACTTAAGAATGCTAGTCAAGAAATCAATGATTTGGATTGCGAAATATATGACCGTGAATGATTTGACGAGATGGTGCTATAAAAAAAACCCTGCTTATACAATATGTTTTACATTTCAATCTATCAACTTCTTGCAACCCCTTTCCCAGAAATCAAAGTTTATAATAAGTTAGTATTACCCAAAAAGTATAGACCTTAGTTTTTCCTTTACTAACACTACATATAAATCATACGAAAATTCACTTTGGATGGCCTTGAGTCTGAAGAGATAGTGCTTAAAAAGCCTTTAACCCTTTCATGGCCTCTAAAAATAGTTGAAATGCATTAATATAGAACGCATTTCTGCTTATATAATATGTTCCAATTAGCAATCGATCGACTTCTTTTGACCCCTCTGCCCAGAAATCAAAGGCCCTTACTCAAATATAAAAAAAAAATCGTTCCCCCTCCGAAACCTACTTAACAATGCACGCTCCTCATCGTCAATTAAGTTTAATTGCCCCAGCGAACCACTTGAAATATGCATACAAAGTGAGCCGGGGCATCGTTGAAATACTCTGCCTGGTTCTACACTTTTCCACTGGCCAGCATTAGCAGTTCCCATTTAACAATCAATTTATTTCGTAATATTTTCGGTTTTGTGCCCCATCGATCCCTTTATCCCTCCCCCCAGCCACATCTACCCTATCAAAAGTTAGCAAGTGCCATTTTCTTCCGTACTCGTTGCATATTCATTCAAATCTCAAGGGCCTAGAGGTAGGCATCGCCTGTCTGATATCGAAGCAATTCAAAGCCCTAATTGGCTTGACCTCCTTGTGCGGAGTTTACTGTTGCATAGTTGTAACCACAAAATGGTGCATAATGTCGTAATAACTTGTTACTTTCGGATTCCGGCTACTCTGACTTATTGGGTTATACAAAAAGGGGAAAACTTTTTAGCATTAGGTCGGATTTTTATTATTCTCAAAAGTACGTAGCCCTCTTGTTAGAAACTAAACATGACTAGTAAAAAATACTTGGAAATACATGCGAAATACATTGAAGACTTATAAATATCATACAAAAGTCGTTGGATTTCGAGAAACTTAATGGATATGTTAGGATATAAAAGTAGACGCTTTACGGAACACATACACTTAGGAATCACTCTATGACACAGTTATCGTTAAATAGCTAGTAAGGAAATTCTACCATTTGCTGGCCCCCTTTTCGAGTAAACTACGAAAAACAGAACCCGGCAGCTGTTGGAGCTCCCTGGGATTGCCATCCTCTACGATTCGTCCTTGGTCCAGCACAATTAAGCGGTCATAATCCAGAATAGTGGTCAGACGGTGCTGCGGAGAAATATAATTGTCATATCACAGCTGTACTGGAGTGCCGGGATTAACTGCAGGGACTCACGGCAATGGTAATGATGGTGCGGCCCTGGAAGGCCAGATCCGCCGCCTTGAGGAGGGCATTCTCCGTGCTGCTGTCCAGGACACTGGTGGCCTCGTCCAGGACCAGGCAAACGGATCCCCGCAGTATGGCACGTGCCAGGCACAAGAGCTGACGATGGCCAGCACTCAGGTTGACCCCTCCGTCACAAATCACCGTTTCTAAAGGACAAAACAAAAATAATTATATTAAAAATAGCAATTGCGAAAATGTGGGAAATTAAGTTTATAATATAACCAATATTGACTAAATAAAGTAGTTTAAAAAAGTGCTGGGAAAACGGATTGCATTTTAATCGTCAACCAATTTTAAATTGCCCACTAATTATACTCATTAGGTAGTGTTATGAAACTATTCACAAGTGTATAATTAATTTCTAATTGTAAGTAATTCCAGTTAATGCGAGCATAAACATAAAAACATTCATTTGATAACTCCCAATTTTTTGTTTTGAAAAAAAGGTATACTAATCAAACAATGCCCATTATTTAATTTGGTATAAATATGAAACTTATGTTTACTTCCATTCTGAACGTGCCTAAAGCCTTATGACACTTGGATGATTTTATAACAAGGTGACTGAATTTTTTTTAGCACTCATTTAAATATTAATTCATTGTTAAGCTGTGTGCAAAAAACAAAAGTTATTTAATTCAAGCATTGCCCATAGTTAAATTTGATATAAAATAAGAAACTAAAGTTTACTTTCTGTCTGAACGTGCTTAAAGCCGTATGACACTTGAATGATTATTATAACAAGGAGGTAAACATTCATGACAACCTAAACATAATTTTAAATATAAATTCATTAAAAATTCTTGACCTGTAGAGCTGAATTTCTGGGTTATAATGACTTTTTGAAATAAATCTAGTTCTATATTAAACAATCAGACAAGTGTCATAAGACCTTAACTGTGACAACTTGATTTGAACATTTTTTGGAACGTAATTTTTTGAAGTTCTTAAAAAGGAATATATATATATAAAAAGTATAAAGACCATTAAAACCAACAATTCAATAAAAAATACATCACCTAAAATTCATTAACTTGCTTAGCAGTTGAGGTTTCCTGCCAAAGTTGCTGCTTAGTAAGCCTCCTCAACTTCAGAAGTGCATACAAAATAGAATAAAATATCACTCCGCTGTCATGACTATTTCATAAGACAAATTCCGAAACCTAGGAAAGCGAAAGCTCCTCGAAGCTGGTGTCTACTTCAAACAACAAGAAAAGGAAGCCAAAATCGCACTCACCCAAGCCGAGAGGAAGGTGCTCATTGACGAACTCCTTCAGCTGCGCCAACTCGAGACAATTCCACAATTGCAGGTCCTGGAAGTAACCGTGTGGATCAAGATTTTCACGTATGGTTGCATTGAACAAATGCACATCCTGCGGAATTATCGACAATCTGGTTCGCAGCTCGTCTGGTCGGATTCGTTTGATGTCCACATCGTCGATGTAAATGTGGCCCCGGGTCGTTTGTAGGACCCCGAAGAGGGACAGCCCCAGGGATGATTTGCCACTGCCCGTGCGACCACAGATGCCAATCTATAAACCGATTACGAACGTATAGAATAGTTAAATTTTAACGAGATTTGAATGTTATGCAATCAGTGGGATTTTTAATTTAAAACACAATCACCTAGTTTTAGTTTTACTTTTAGTTTTTTATCTACATAGAGTTTTACCCTACATACAAGCTTTGTGGACCAGGTGGGCTCATTTTTATAAAATTAGTCCTTGCATATAAAAGGAGACCTTTTTCATCATCAATCAACATTTCTGCATACTCCCCAAACAATTAAAACCTATTAAACACTGTGGCAGATTTCATGAAGCACACAATTCGCGCTGCTCTTCCGCTTTGTCCCCGTTTTTGATTTATTATCTCGTCACTTTTTTAATTTATAGCAAATATAAATTGACTACAAAAACGGTTGTCCCTTCAGTTGCTCTTTTTGTTTTACATTGATGATTTAATTTTAAACTCAAATCAATATTGCTGACATCTGTACTGGATTTTTTGCCATCTCAATAGAGTGGGAGAAATTTTTTCTAACACTGTCCCACTTCTTTTTACTGTTCAATGGAACTTATACAGAAAGTTTTTGCACTACTCACTCGTTGTCCGGCAGGAATTTTCAATGTTAGATTGCTGATAACGTTTTGCTTCTGACCTTCGTATCGCAGGCTGACATTATCGAAATGGATATCACCTCTTTGAGGCCATGAAATGGGTACACTCTGATCTGAAAAGAAGAAAACGATAACGTTTTTATTATTATATTCCACAGAACATACGGCGGATTTATCAAAAAAAGTTAGCATTAACTTTGGGATGATATATTAATGTAATGTTAAAGTTACAGAGAAGTTTAATATGAACCTTGGATCGATTTCTCAATGCCATGTTAAAGTTATAGATTGTTATTGTCCAAAGAAAGGTACCATTAACTTTGGGCAGATTTTAAATGTCATGTTAAGGTTCTAGTTTCTTAACCGACGGAGAAAGTTTACATAAAAATAAATTGGTCGGGAAAAGAAATTCGTTTTCTTAATATGATGTTAATTCAACGATCGACAAATGTGACAGTGTCTCAATGAGAAATTCAATCTGCAAAACCTGAAGAATAATAGTAGGGGATATTATTTTGTTGTTTACGTTCTGTTACCCAAAAATTTAACTATAACATTGCCTTAGTGAAGAGTTTTCATACAGATAATACCTAACATGATAATAAGAAACTGTTTTTTCCGAAACAGGAATTTAACTAAGAATTTAACTTAAGAAATCGACTATTAAGGTACTTGATAAAAAAATTAACAGAATTGCAGGATGTACAATGTAAATATATGAGTAAGAGCCTTATAAAACTTCCTACATTCCACTTCGATTTTGTATTGGCTCTTAATTACCTAAACCTATATCGTGATTAAATATGCCTAAAGCAACTACCAAAGTTTGTTGCAAATATTTTCAAATGCAATTACAAGCAAAAGGTCCTGTGATGCGTGCCAAACGCCCCGAGTCGGTGGCCAAAAGAGCAGCCAGACCAACTGACCCAAAACTTACAGCGCTCGAGCTTCCTGGCCGGCTCATTTGGCAGGACGACCTTCTCGTCCTGCGGTGGCAGTTGCTTATCTTTAATCACCGACGTCTTTGTCGTCGCCTGCTCCACCTTGTCGCCAGCTGTCGCCGTGAGGAAGTGGAAGTTTAAGTGATTGCCGTCGCCGGTTGCATTGCCTGCATTTAATTTATCAGCGTTTGCCCCAGCAGCAGCCCCATTTTCATGTCCTTCGCCGGCTCCACCAGCTCCTCCACCAGCTCCTCCGCCATCTCCTGCACCATCTCCACCTCCATCTTCATCAACATCACCGGCAGCTGTCGTTGCGCCTGGGTAAACTTTGTCACCAGCATTCGACTGGGTCGTCTGACTCTGGGACGACCTATCGACTTCGACGCTCACATCTTCTTCATCGGATGGGTAGTCCTGCTCCATGCCCAAGTCCGGATCCTCTCCCTGGGCATAGTGGGCGATGCGTTCCACGGAGCCCGCATACATCTCCATATCAGCCAAAAGTTTTACAACCCAATTAAGGTAAATCGGCACCAACAACGTGTAGTTTATGGCCAGACCCACCAGCGATGGGGATGGGGATGGCGAGGGCGAGGGGCCTTTATTGACAGCATAAGTTTCGGATGCCCCGTTGTCGAGGTGCCTCGTCGTGTGGTTCCTGCAACTGACGCTCGCCGTCGCCAGGGCCGTCACAGTGGCCACAAAAACAATGCATCCACCCAAATAGTCCTGCAGGAAGACAAAAACAAGCATTAAAACCAAAGGATGTACGGATGTGCGGCGTGATTAAGACTGGGACTGGGTGGGGGGGGCTTGTCTGTGGTCGAGGTCGTGTCTACTGCTGACTAATTCACTTAGCCACCGGTTATTGAGCTATTATATTAAATTAAAAACTAAATTAATGGCAAGGATATACAGTGTGTAACTAGTAGCAGCATTCAGGAAAAAGACTGTCACACAGAAAATAGGAAATTATAAATAGCCAGGTCATTTTAGACCATGAGTATAAAAGTTTAAGTATGAAATTTGAGAAGAAAGTTTAATTAACTAATACTTTGTACTCGTCTGAAAGATCTGAATAATAAAATAAGACCTGAATTATCTATCTATTATCTTAATAAAATAAATGTATAATATTATTTTTAAGTTCTTTTCAAGATCTAATAGTCCTATATTCTTAAATTCATTGATAATAAAATTGGAGGGCATACCATATAAACTCTACCTACTTATTTAAGATCTTAATATTGAGATGTTTCGAATTAAACAATTATCGATTATTATTTAAACTATTAAAAAAAGTATATCCTAAACACCTATTTCTTTTATATATATTTACCAAAGACACCCCCAGCCATCGATGACTGGTGCTCAATAGCGCATAGGCAATGGTATTGGCCTCGAGGCGTTTGAATAGGATCTCTGTGAATCTAGTCTGCTGATTAAAGGCTCTAATCGTAGTCACTCCTTGAATGGTCTCCGACAGATGAGATATGACGGGTGAGTTGGTTGTGTTTTCAATACGCTGTAGTTCTCTGAAAAGTAAATAAGTTGAGATTTCTAACTTAATTAACTAGAGATAACCTTATGTCCTACCTGGCCGAACACCTGTAGAACTTTTGTATGATATAGTAGGCCCCACAGATGGGTAGGGTAAGCACCAAGATCCAGGGGGTGATGGTGAAATTTATCAGAATGGCCGACAGGCACAGCAAAGTGAATTGCAGCAGGCGTTGGCCAGTGGCGGCAATTTTCTGGTAACATAAAAAAATATGGTATATAGTTATGGGTTGCTTAAAGCGAAAAAAATATATACATATATAGTGGAACAAACGCGTGCCTATCGCAGTGCCATCTTAATCAGAAAGTGTCAGCAATCTATATCTTCACTCTGTTCAAACCCCACGCATCACCGAGGCCAGATAAAACAACTAAAACCACGACAGGATAACAGAAATAACAAATCTCACCTTATCAATGACGGCCATATCGTTGCTGAAACGATTCACAATACATCCGAGCGGGGTCACTTGGAAAAAATGCAACGTTTTATGCAAAATCGTTTGCAGCAGCTTATCGTGCAAATTACGACGAGCATTACAGCCGGCAAATTGTCCGGCCGGTGTTGATACCAGGGCCATTATTATACAAACACACGAAATTGCGGCGTACATGCGAAAATAGTACGTGACTTCGTGGTCCTCCACCTCCGTCCGATCCTGTGGTGCTTCGTCCTGGCCCTTGGACATCCCATGGACATCCTGGACATGGACATCGCTCCACTGCTGCAGCCAAACGTCCGTGTAGACACGCAAACACTGCCAAATTAGTGCGGTGATAAAAAAGACGGTGATTATGGGCAGGCCGGCGGCCCGTATGTACATTAGATATATGTCGTCCGATATTTTTCCATATTTGCGTTCCGTATCAATGGCAGTTCGAACGGATCCACCTGCCGAGAGCAGCACGTGTCCTTCGCCGGGCTCCTGGGCGTCCGAGGATGTCACGTTTGGCCCCGATTCTTTGTCGGCTGCTGATTCGCCATTGTCAGCGCAATTTATTGTGGTTTCGTTTGAGTCAATGTTTACGCCTGTTTTTTGGGGGTGAATAAGAAAGTAAAAAAGGTCAGTTGTGTTCGATGGAGATTTTCAAGGGGTTATTGTGGTAAACCTAATTTTATACCAAGTTAAGATTATTATTTCCTTAGGCTACAAGTATAATCATATTATACACTAATAATACTAATATGGTAATATTTATAAAAACAAATACAATAAAGACTTAAGGCTAAACGTATAAGAAAATATTATTATTATTTTCGCAAAAAAAATACTTTACCCCTGGGGTTAGAAGAAAACAAAGGGTCAGTTGTGTTCGATGGAGCTCTTTCCCAGGGCTACAAGTTAAGACACATTATATACTTATCCTTCTATCATGGTATTATAAATAAAAGAAATACAATACCAACTTAACTTAACCAACTTTTTGTATATTTATTATTATTTTGAAAAAAAATACCCTAGGGGTTAGAGGAAACCAAAGGGTCTGTTGTGTCCAAGGGAGATTTTAAAGGTTGTGTTAAAGCAAATAGTATAAAGTATATCTATACTCCTTGGTTAAAGTTAAGGTTAAACTAAGTTCAGGTTATTAACATTTATTTAGTTATTTCCTAGGTCTAAAAAAATATACTTATTTTTATACTTATACTACTTTCATGGTGTTAATAATACAAAAAAATAGAATACGATTTTAAAACTAAACATAAATATGAAATTATTAATTTTGCAATAATTACTTCTTAAAGAACTATAAATAATTTAACAAGTAATACCGAAAACAGTTATTTTTGGGTAGATTTTATTTTTAGTGATATAAAAAATATACCATTTAAGTACTTATTTCACATTTGAAAAGCCAACAGAGTTCCGAAAACTGCATACGATTGACTCTTGATTGGAAGACTTTGACTTTTGATTGAAAGAGGTAGTAAGACGGAAAAGATCAACATGTTTTAACTTTTGCAGAAATACCACATGGGCCAACATCAATTAAACCATGCTACCGTTTCGTTTAACCAGTTCCTCAGGCAAACTAATTGAAAGAAAAGTTTACTTCCCGTCTGCGGATTTGCCTAGCAAAAGAGTCCCCGGGTTCGAATGGAGTGACACTTGCAGCACTGATTTAATCGAAAGTTTCCACTGCGAACCCGCTGACTTATCAGCCAAATATTGATAGATCAATGCATCCAAGTTAAGCCAAAGTTTCCGCCTTGAAAACTTTTCGCGCCCAGGAACACTGTCTCTTTGACTTACCGCTTGGGAGCTCGAAACTTTTAAAATCAAAGTTGATTTAAGTTTTAAGCTACACGCATGCATCCAGGAGTAAACTATAAGAAGGGGGTCCCCAAGTGAATTGGCGAAGAGGAAAAGGAGAGGAAGTTTCTTTCCCGAATATAATGCCAATATTTTGCTTACAGTTTTCACGCCCAGCTGAATAAATTTCCGCTAATCAATATTCATTACCAGATGTTGCAACTTCAAGGCGCAAGAAAATGTAAATTTTCATTAAATGTAATTCATTTAAAAACTTAAACGACAAGTTCTCTTGGCAACCTCGACGTGGCCTTGTATCAAATTATGTTCGTAATTAACTTAGATTTTAAGTTATGTTATAACTTACTTTTTTTGGGCTTTTCCTCTGAAAGTGATTCATCCTGTATTAATTTAGCTTTTTGCGTAGCCTCTGTTGTTAAAAGCGTGGCGGGAAAATGAACAATTGGGGGAGACTCCTCCGAAATGCTCCTATAAAAATATAAGTTAATTGCTAATTCAAATTTTTTGTGAAATAAAAATGTATTTTTATAAATTTATAGTCTAAATGTCTTTGTACAAAATACAAAATAAAAATTTTAAAACACACATGATAATATATTCTAGGTTCTCTTAAAGTAACCACAGTTCAAGAATTTATAAGAAGTATAACCACATGTGTTAGTGTTATTTATTTTTTGTAAACTATAAAAAAAAAATTATAAAAAAAGAAATAAAATACTCTCACTAAAAAAAACATTACTGTTCCTTGTTTTTGAGCTATGGTATAAGACTTGTAAGACTTTACCAAAAATCCTTTTAATAGTGAACTTATAATATTCTAATTTGGATATACTTTTCCTATAACTTTCTACTCACAGAATGGAGTTGGTGGCACTGAGTGGAAGATGATGATTCTTGGGCTTATTCGAACGCCGCATGGACATTCTCCGAAGAAACTGCTGGAAACTACCTCGAACCTGGTCGTCCGAGGGACCTTCCGAGCTAATATAAGACTTCAGGGCCTCCTCAGACTCCGTAGCTTCTGGACAAGTCACCTCCATGGCTGGTGGTGAGGAGGCATTCCGAGACAGAGGTTGATGGGCCACATTCTGTGGCGGTTGCCAGGATTGAACTCGAGGCTCTGGTGGTGCCGAGCCCAAATCACAACCATCCACACTACTTTCCGCATAGCTACTGCCACTGGTGGCCAAGGCACAGCGGCTCAGGGGGTCTCCGCTGGTGGAACTCGAAGCAGAAGTGGCGGTCAAGGTGCTCAGACCACTCAATCTATGCCAGGAATTGGTGGTCCTGCTTCCACGACGACTTAGAGTATGCCGACGACGAGGTCGCATGATGACATCATCTCCCTGACACTCGTCGATGGGCAGGGGAACATCGTACATCAGATGCCGGGATCCGTAAATACTGGAGCGCTTCCGTTGCAGGCTATAGCCGCCACAAGATCCATTGCCGATGGAGTATGACTATGGTTGGGAAACAATAGAAATAGTTAGACCATTTTAAGTAGATAATGTATAATATCTTACCGCACACACTTCCTCTTCCTCCTCATCCTCTTCAACCACATTTGACTGCATATTAGCCACAGATACACAGCCACTGCCATCAGTTGCATCTGCCTGGCATCCTCCACTTGAGTCCATTGTCACCGAGATCGAGCGCTGTAATCCCAACTTGCTTACGTTTTTCAATAATTTCCAGCGTTCTCCAGCCGTTTTATCGCCTGGACTATATATTATAATAATTAATATTAATAATTAATAATATGGTTACTTAGGAACTACATACGATTGTAATCAGCCAAGGGAGTTAATTCACAGGTAAACTACTTACTTTTGTGAAATATTATCCTTTTTTGCCTTGGCCATTGCAATAATCGAGTTCCATTTGGCGGTAATTCTCGGATGCATCAACTCAATTTCCGCATAGCTGCCACAGGCTTCAACACGACCATCTTTTATAGCAATTAACTAACAAAAAAAAAATTATTCTATTACATTCTGGTGTAAATGTGCGAGTATTATCTGCTGTAAGACTTACGTATTCTGCTTCCCTTATGCGATGCAATTGCTGTGTCACCAGAATAAAAGTTCGATTTGATTTTTCTAACATCTGGCGAATGCAGTGCTGAAATATATGCTCGCCCACCTCGTTATCAAGTGAAGCCAGGGGGTCATCCTAAAAAGATTTCAGAATTTTAATAAACATTCAAATGTGTTAAAAAAAAATAAAGTATGTTTAGCAAAATATAAGTATCCCCATGTAAGAAAATTTTTAATATCATAAAATAGTTTGTTACTTGAAGGTTCATCTTGTTCTCATTATAAACTGAATGTAGGTTTCCGACCTAAAAAACGTATGGCCCATACAGTACAACAATTTAGAAACATAACATAGAATACGACCTTAAATTATTAAAATCATTAAAACTATGGTTAGGTAGAAATTTTCTCAAAAAACGCACCTACATTTATGGAACTTTTTAATAAAATAAAATAATACATCGGTAGTCCCAAAAAAAAGTTCCCACCCTATAAGTCTATCGACTGGTTTTATTTTTTTGAGTTCGACAAAATAATTTAAATGAAATTAAATAGTGTCTTATTTTTCGGGACCCAGCATCTTGCTAGGCTGCACCCACTCATCAAAGTCTTCCCTTTCGATGCCCGCATTGATGGCCTCCTGGACCAAAGAGGTTCCATTCCTGTGGGCTGCCTTGGCGATTGCCGCAGATCTTTCGTATCCGATGTGGGGACTCAAAGCGGTGACCAGCATCAAGGAGTTCTTCATGATACTCTCGATCTTGGTTTTATTCGGTTCGATGCCCTCCAGGCAGTTGGCGCAAAAGGACTTCATGCCATCGCCCAAAAGTGTTATGGATCGCAGGACATTGGAGGCAATCATGGGCATAAAGGTGTTAAGTTGAAAGTGTCCACTGGCACCTCCCATCGAGACTGCCACATGGTTGCCCATCACCTGGGCGCAGATCATGGTCATGGCCTCGCACTGCGTGGGATTTACTTTGCCGGGCATGATGGAACTACCTGGCTCGTTCTCCGGCAGATGCAGTTCCCCCAATCCGCAACGCGGGCCCGATCCCAGGAACCGGATATCATTGGCTATCTTCATCACACTGGCTGCTATGGTGTTGAGTTCTCCATGGACTTCGACCAGGGCATCGCAGGCGGACAGGGATTCAAAGAAGTTACAGGACTCCACAAAGGGTAGGAATGTCAGCTCGGCTATTCGCTTGGTGCACTGCTCGGAAAATCCCTTCTTGGTGTCGTATTTTGTGCCCACATGGGTGCCCCCCATGGGTAACTGATACAACCTGCATAGCGCCGAGTCCAAACGAGATCTTCCGTTCTCCAGCTGCTGCTGATAGCCACTGAATTCCTGTCCCAGCGACAGAGGCACTGCATCCATCAGATGGGTTCTTCCAATTTTTATAACATCCATCCAACCGCTTGACTTTTTACTTAGTAGATCTATAAACATTCTTAGACTCGGGTACAGCTTCTCCTGCAACTGCATGGCCACCGCGATTTTAGCCGCTGTGGAGAAGGTATCATGGGAGGTTTGCGAGAGGTTCACATGCTCATCTGGGTGCACTGGCTCCTTGGTTCCCATCTGACCGCCCAGGATCTCGATGGCACGATTGCATATAACCTCATTTAGGTTCATGTTTGTGTGCTCCCCGGATCCATCTTGCCAGATGACCAAGGGAAAATGCTCTTCGTCGTAGAGTTTACCAGATATAACATCATCGCAGGCCTTGGAAATGGCATCGCACAGATTCTCCTCCAGTCCATTGACTTTATTCGCCTCCGCAGCAGCTTTCTTCACAATGCCCAGGGCTTTTATAAGAGGTCGCTGGGGGTTTGGGCAATATAATAATCAATAAATTGTAACCTATCACTTTTTTTTTACGGGCATACGCTCCTCAACGCCCCCGATAGGGAACTTCATCAGGGATCGCATGGTCTGTGGACCGTACATCCTGTCGAGAGGAATGTGCACGGGTCCCATCGCATCGTATTCAACCCGAGTATCTGGTACTATGAGACGAGCCAACTTGTACATCAAACTGAAGATCTCTTTTTGATCGAAAGACATTTTGACAATTTATAAATATAACGCTTATGAGTTTATTATATATAGAACCAAAAAATGTACAGATCCGTAAAAGGTTACTTGTCTGTGCCTAAAATATCATTTAAGATTTATATTTCTATGTTTACTAGAAGTGAAAATTATCCGAAATTCTACTTTTTAAACTACTTCAATATAGTTATATATATTTTTAATGTTGACTTACCATTATAACCACATTAGCTGATGAGTATATAGCTCGAGCTATCGCAATTCGCTGCCTCTGTCCTCCGGAAATATTTATTCCGCGCTCTCCAATAGTGGTAAAGTCGCCTCTCGGCATTAACTCAATATCGGGCTTGAGGGCACAGGCCTCCAATACAAAATCATATCGTTTTGGTCGAAAGGACTCCCCGAAAAGTATATTCTCACGAATGGTATCATTCAGAAGCCAAGGCTGTTGCGAAACGTAGGAAATTGTGCAGGTTCTGAAAAGGAGATATATGATTTAATATAAATATATATATATATATTATAATATTGATCTAGAAAACAAAAATCTCTTGATTAACTTGGTTATATTTATATAAAAACGTTCCTTTAGCCCCCTGTATTTTTAAAACAAAGAAGTAAGTAGAGTGTATCCAATAGTAGTGATCATATGATACATATTAACTATATGAAAAATGGCATAAATTAAGCTACTACCCACTGAAAATGTTTAACAGGCTTCATTCGGGGGGTTTGTACAAAAGACCTCTTATTTAATACATTGCAGGCAGTACGTATAGAAGAAACATAAATTTGCAAGCCAAAAGAGGAGAAAAAATAAGCCTTGAAGATACCACAGAACGAAAAAAAACCTACTCAAGCTAACATAGACATTTATTACAGTAATTGAAATTATTGCACATTTGCCGTTTGCCAAGGCAAGGATATATATGGTATAGATGGTAATGGAGGGGGGGCAGTCGTCCTGAAGGAAGCAATAGAGGCAAAGGGCGCAGGATGGGATTGGTTCCGGGCTGCAGGAGGCAAGTGCACCAGATTCCTCGTTTCCACTCCGCGATTTCCATTTTTTAAATGCATTCGTATATGCAGGGCCCTTCCTTGGGGAACCCTTTACTTTTGCCCCTCCGCCAGACGGCGATGCCATTTTTATTTTATGTGCAATAAAATTAACAACGTACACAGGCGTTTTGTGATAAATTACCGAATCACGTGGCGTGCATTGAAACGACTGTTAAAATATGTTGAATGACTGCGGCGGATTCGATTGCAATTGCAGCAAAAATGGGAGTTTAAACTATTCCACCTGCCAGCCGGGACTTTCTTTGATTTCGGTTCGGAAAATGGGTTATCGGGTCAGACTTGAATAAGAAATATGGAGCTTGAAGCCAAAAAAGTCAATATTAATAGGGTTATTTATTGAAACCCTCTTCCTAAAACTGCAATAAAAGATATTGTGCGATAAGTTCGTGGATAAAATAACTAGGATGTTTAAGACTCATTGCATTTTAGTTATTCATTTGAACATATTAACCCTTTAATATATAAATCGGGGAGTTCTAATCTCTAGTTCTAGTTTTAAAGTAAGCCACCTTAATCTTAATTCAATCGAAGGATAGTGTAAAAATTACTAGTAAAAGTTGATATACACTGCAATTAAGTTCTTAGCTTGTATAAAAGCCAGCTGCTATATAAACCGATATTAAACAATCTGCTTTTGGTTTTAATGTAAGCCATCTTTGATTAGTTCGTGGATAGAATATCTGACTTAGGTTAAATTTTATAGCATTTAATTTCTCAATTTTTGTAAAACCCAACTGTTATAAAAATCGATTTTAAATCATCTAGTCCCAGTTTATAAGTAAGCTATTTGAAGCTTTGTGGGCATAGTAAAAGCATGAAAATAGGTGAAAATTATGCAATTAATTTTGATAAATGGGCAAACACTTTTATCCTCTATGGGAGCCACCGTTGTTGGCAAAGCTCAAAAAATAAGCACATAAATAGCCAAGCAAATTTACATGAGCAGTGTGTTCCGGGTTTTGGGTGTTCTTGGAATTCTGGGTGTGCTGTGTTGACAGACAAGGAAACGTGCTTAATCTTGGCCGCAGGGAGATGGCCGAAAGGTTTTTAAAGGTTTCATACACCAAAATGAGCTTAAAATAGGAACATATTTTGAAACTTAAATAGGAAAATAAGATTTAGCAAAAAGAGGTCCCCAGGGGAAATAAAAAGTACTGCTGCAGGATAGGATTTAAGCTTAAAATAGTGCAGGCAGCAAATCAAAATTGTTATATCTAACTTCCTAACAATAGAATACTAGGAAGTCTGCCTTAAGGGATTACCTGTCAAGCTTTCATTAAGCTTAGATAAATAAATATTATTACAATGTCTGATTTTTAAGCATTAAGTAATAATATGTATAGTTCCTGTATACAGAAAAATTTATCAGACATAAAAAAGAATGGTAAAAAATCTCTTTTACTAAAACCAAAATAAAACATTTGGGAAAATGAGTAGAAACTTATTGATTTCACAATACAAGAAATCATTTATGAATAAAAAAAAACTATATACATATACAAATTTTAATGCCCTCTGGATTCATTAAATATAATTTTTCCCTAATTGAACCCTCCAAAATAGGCAAAAACTAGTAGAAACTTTTTGATAACGCCTTAAGTTATAAGTGTGTGTATAGAGAATCATTTTTAGTGCATATTTTGTTGACTTCCTGATTTATTAAATTTAAATCCCTCCCAGTTTCTTTACTCACTTGTGCCAGAACATGTTGCCCACGAGGAGGGGCATCTCCATGAGCAGGGCGGATAGCAGGGATGTCTTGCCACTGCCATTTTTGCCCACAACTATGGTAAGTTTTCCCTTGGGAACGATGATGCCGGGTACATGCAGCTGCACCACCGGCATCTGACTTTGTGGCTGCCACGTGAAGAGTCCATCGTTTATCGAGACGGCAATGTCATCGGGCATTTTGAGCAGCAGGGAATCCCGTCGCCAGCTATCCGTATTCCTAGCACGAATCACCGAGAATTCCACAGGTCTCTCGGCGATGGTTCCCCGCATTTTGGGAGGCCTTATGGCCACATAAGGAGTATTCCGCAGCAATTCCCTTCGCTGTTGCACTATCTTGTTGTGACCCAGTTCCTGAATGGTGGATGGCGATATATCCCCCGCAGATTCATCGGTATTTTGCAATAGAGGTGTGGAATTAGTTGGCATTTCAGTCTTTTGCGCCAGCCGCTTTTCATTAAGCCGATTTTCCGCTTGAGCTGTCCGCATTGTCATATTCGATTTCTCCTGTGTTTCATACATATCCAAGGAGGCATCGCTTTTGCTCAGAATTCTAGCCATATTACGAATGCCCTCGAACTGCTTCTGGATCTCGCTGGACTTGAGGAATCGCTCTAGGCGTCTAGTTGACACCCTGGCTGCTATAATAATGGGCACTGTGATGGGAAAAATCAGCAGGGGTACGGTGAGTTGTTGGAAAAGCGCCAGGGAGGAGAACAGACGACTGGCATTCAAGTCAAAGTCCTGATCCCGATGTAACCACACATAGACGCCCAGGGTGACGAATGTGATCAGAACGGTGGCCACATGGGTAAGAACAGCTATTAAAATAAATATATATATTTTATTGAAAATAACAAGAGGTTTTAATACTAAAACATACCCATTAGGGTCCAAAATGTGGCATCCTTGTTGAGATACTTGAGCTCCTTATTTCGCGCCAGTTGAATCTTTTTGAGAAATACCTCATCCCATGCATTCAGTTTTATGACTTTGATGCCAACCAGTGTATCGTGTATTTTCTTCAATCGCTCATCCGTGTATTTCTGTATAAACGTACAATAATAGTATATCCAATTATCTACTTTTATAACTTATAATTGAGTACTTACAGCAATAACCTCCCCGTTTTTCGACATTGCGTTTCCAATTAAAAACTGCAGGGGCGTCATTATCACTATGCAAACAATGGATCCAATGACTGCACTTAATCCCAAATTCACATATAATAAATATATAACCACAGATATCTGAAATAAATAAAAATTAAACATTTTATAAAGAAATATTATTTTAGACTTTGAAGAGGTTTTAAAACCCTTTTTAGAAAATATTAGGCCTATAAAATTAGTAACTAATAAAATAGATTTATTATATTATATTGTAAGTAGTAAATTAGGCAAAATAAAATAAAAAGAAAACCCCTTAATGTAATTTATCTCCGAATTATAAGAAAAGCAAATAAATGTTTACAAATAAAAACCATTTTACATAAAATCAAATTTATAGCTTAACGATTATACAACATATTAAAAACATTTATATCCCTTTATCAAGTCAAGGATTTCTCGGGCAGCCAATGCGATAAATTAGGTTCGTGTTAGCGAACATCAAACGGAGTCCAAATGGCACACAAGTTGCTCATAAATTTTAAAAACGATTAGACTACCAAATGGCGAATCTCAATACGAACCTTAAATGGAATGGCCCAGGCATAGTGGATGATCAGGAAGAACTGCATAATGTTTAGGGTGTCCTCCGTCATATGGTTGGTAATACTGCCAATGTCATTGGTGATTTTCGAGTCTGTAAGGTAATGAAACTTTGATTAATTATGTACTTAAGCAAATTATAGTATTATAAGCGATGGTATACGAAAAAAATTCTAGCTAAGCTAAAGAGAAAATCGTTATCAATATGATATGGGATCATAATAAGTGGCATTACGTTTTTAACAAAATGCTAATTCATTTTAATATGATTTCATTTGCTAAAATGCTTTTCTGAAACAATTTATATTGGGCATTACTTGTCTTGAAAAAACTCTTGTTTTTGGTAGGTATATAAAAAACAATATATGTAAGCTTAACCGAAAAAAAATGATATATGTATGATCCAAACGAGTGCTAATATACTTCTTAAGTTATTTAGTTTTTAGTTTCCGATTGGATATTATGTGGTGTTAAATTGCTTTTCTGCAACTATTTATATTGGACACTATCTGTCTTAACAAACAACATTTTTTTGGTAGGTATATAAGTAAGGATATCTATTTTGTTCTATAATTTACCGCTTGAGTTGTCTGCTGTTGGCTTGGAATCATCGTTTTTTGGTTTCTCATCCGCAGGAAGAGAAGTCGTTTGAGCTTCTTCTTCAGAACACCCACCGCCCGCATTCAGGAGCAAACTTTTTCTATAAATTAGACCCTGCAGGGAGGTCTTAATCCTGATGCCAGTCATGTTGAGGATGTGCGTCGAGGCCTGGGACAGAGCGCCTTGTGTGATGGCGGCCAGCAGGACAATCCAGGCGATGCACCAACCATTAGCCAGGAGATCCGACCAGGTGCTGCCGTAGATTCGCACTCTATCGATGTTGGTGCCGAAGACCTCGTCGAATTCGGTGCCCAGGATCCTGGAGGTGGACAGCAAAGAGGACTCCTCCGCCGGCTCCTCCTCCTTGGCAGCCTGGGCATAAAGTTTCTCTATATATTCTACGATTTTCTGTATGGCCAGCGGTCCAATCAGGGCAAATAAATCACCGGCTAGCTTCAAAATGCCGCCCAAGGCAAACATTTGCCAACTATTCTTTATGTAGCAATACCATAGGGATGGCGACGAATTTGACTTTTTCTGCACATTAAAATTGTTAGAAGAGATATGTGTGTGCATTTTCGTTAAGTTTACCTACCTTCTTCTCAGTGTAGATATACAGAAAGTGGTCGTAATGGGACCTGGCGCTGTCCTCCAGTTTCATTTGACCCAAATCCTCCAGTTCCAGTGGTTCCTTGTAGCCCAACCACAGCAGTGGTGTTAGCCACCAAAAACAGGATTTCGAGTAAAATGTGGCAAGTGAGTGCTTGTAGCCTATTTTGCCATAGTCATCCAAGTAGTCATCGTGATAACACTGAAAAGTGGAAACAAATGTATAAAATTTAATGAAATTTTTTTATACACACAAACAAATTTTAGGTAAAATGGATTGAATTAAATCGAATTGTAAATTTTACCAAGGAAATAGTTACCCCCCAATGTTAAAATACACTTAACTTTCTATTTTTTAGTAGTTTTACTGTTAAATAGTAACCAAAAGTATTTTTAATAGTCGTCAAACATTTTTTTAAGTTACCTAACTGGTCGTATATGTCATAAATTTTTTACCCATAAATTTTTTGTTGTTTGTAAGTATTAATTTAAAAATCACGAAAATCCAGCGAGCCCACATTTGTATCCCCACTTTTTGAATTTAAATATTCAACTCTTTGGTGGAGCTTCCATTTCCTACTTTGCCCGTTGTCGTGGGACTCTTCCTGTGACCAAGCCACAAACTACTGGACACAAAAAATACATTCTCGCAAAGTATGAAAGGCATTAAGCTCAAAATCTGCACTTAACCTCAATTAAAATTTAAACATGCAAATCGCATTGCAATTTTTGGCTTCCTCTGTTGCCCCAACTTGCTTGTTGGCAGTACAATTAAATAAATACGCCCTTGTCATGGTCGTAATCGCAGGCAGTGGCCTTTTCTAAGTTAATCTGGATAAAACAACCGGAACCTCTGACTTAATTATGATTTTCCAGAGGTGCAGATATATCATATTCGCAAGCTAAATATAATTTTAGCCGGCTCAGCTTTCAAGATAAATTTAAATTTAAGCCTGTAAAATTAGAGAACTGCTTTGAAACAAAGCCCAAAAGTATATATACCTACTTTTATAAGAAAAAAGTTCACCAGCCTTAAATATAATTGTTTAATGCTTATCTCATTTCATTGAACTTAGCACTCGTATTTGTTTGAATAGGGTTTTCCCAGACATTGAAAGTATAATTATATTTTACAATTGTTTATTTTACGTGTGACTTATCAACAAGCCATTGCAATAGAGTACCAAATATATCTTATATTCGAGTATTATTTGAAATATTAGTTATTTTAAAAACATTAATCAAGCATAATTGTTAAAAAAAAGTCGATCTAAATATATACGTTACTGAAATTGGTTAATATAATCTTGGAGCAAGGTTGTAAGTAAATTTTAAAATCTATTTTGTCGAAAGTAATAATGTATAACTTACTTCCTTGTATATAGTAACGCCATCCATCATGGCCAGGGATACCATGCACAGGGCAGCCATACCCACAAGGCACGTCTGGAGCTCCAGAAAGTCCTCGTAACGCCCCAACTCAAAGAGTTCATTGAAAAGCAGGGCAAATGTCAAACCCTCCACGGCAGTACTGGCATACAAAAACACTAAAAAGGGAGGAAAAGTTGATGGAACAGTCGCACAAGGACCTTGGAGATCGGCAGAACCCTCACCTGTCGACTTCTTTCGCTCCACAATGCGATGATAGATCATTAGCACGAGAGTCAGAAATATGGAAAATATTGCATTCCATACCTCACCCGACCCAATTACAACCAAATAGTTCAGATCCCTGGGACTCGAATGGAAAAGGGTGTTTAGATGGCGCACATTTTGCTGAGGAAGAAAGTTCCTGGCCAATTCCAGACTATTTACTGCCAAAAGGACCAGGGAAATCGCCGCACGTCCATTGTGGAATATTAGTAATGTTTTATGACATCTGCATAGGAAAGTTGAAGATGTTTAAGATTGGGATGTGTCAAATAAATTAGGATATTGTTTAAAGAAATATTTTGTAAACATATTAATAAAATTTCAAATATCATCAATTTCAGTCTTTAAATATGGCATGTTTTTATATCACTAGACGATAAAAATTAATTCCTATTGATTTATATCATACATAATTTCGTATCACGCATAATATGTTGAACCGACGAAAACAAAATGATTATATGTATTTTAAACTCATTTTAAATGGCTGTCTCCAGAGGGCTTTGCATCTGAATATTTCGTAAAGAGCCACTTCATAAAATAAGCATAATAAAACATAGATATCATAAATTTTTCTATAATTAACTGCAGTTCCCAATCATATTGATTTCGTGTATTGGGTTCATACAAATTTATTTATATGAATGCGCCCTTAATGAAAAGTGCGTTGCAGATGCAATTGAGATTTACCCATTGAGAATACTTTGGCACGCGATGCGTTATTTTTCGAATCCAAAATGCTATGTTGATTATATTTTAATTTCGCTGCGGGGTGCATTTGATTTTCAATGGTGTGGGCACTTGAGGTCCGGATATCAATTATTGGCTTTTAAGTGGATTTTAAAATCGAAGAAGGAAAGATCACGTACGTAAATAATTTCCGGTATAAGGTAATGATTTCTTATTGTATAACGTTTCCAATTACATTCTTAGTCATTAAGATATGGTAAAGATTAAATTTGCTGTTGATACAGGTAAACAAATCTAAGCAAAAATATACAAAATATTATTAAATAAATAAGATAAATTATAAAAATAAATATAAGACAACATTCATAAAATCAATATACAAATTAAAGCTTAACACTATGTCTAAACAAACTATAAGCTTCGGTAATTTATGCAAAAAAATAAATATTATCTCCTTAACTAAGTCGTTATGTTATCTTAGACATTAAATTTTGTCTGGTGATTTTTCAAGCTGATTATGCACATAGGTAGCATACTCTAGGCCCTCTCATCACTTCTCCAGAATTCGTATAATCTACAAACGCATGTGCTAAATTTAAACAAATGTTCTCATTTTCCTGTCTAATACATATACGCCCATGGGGGGCAATATTTACATTCTTATTTTGGTTGCAATTCTAGGAGTTAAATAGATAAAAAAAAAACTTCTGATGTTAATCACAAAGGAGCTAATTAATCGGATATTACATCTGACCTAATTTCAGTTCATGTCTTTGCACAATTTAAGGGGGAAAAGCGCTAGCTCATTGCAAACTCATTGTAAACAACGCAAAGTAAATGTTTATACTCGGATGAAAAACAAATAAAACAAAGCCGAAACACTTTAATTTTAGTTTAAAATATGTCAATTCAGCTTTTGTATGCCAAGTTGTATTAAATGGCAATCGAAACAAGCAAAGTTACAATAGACATTTACATATATTTAGAGAGTTCACTTGCAAAAATATATATAAACACAGGACGCCTGAATGAAACTCACTTTTTGTATCTTTTCCAAACAAATATCCAGCAGAAAAGTAGCAGAAAAATGCTCAGACACGTAAAAACACGCCTCACACGGTCAATGCCACAAACATCTGTATTTAAATTATCATAAATAGAGCGTACATGCCCATTCAAATGATCACAGTGTATTATATTGAACAACTGCTTCATAATGGCCAATAAAACCGAAACTAATGGCCAAAATTGAATGATGGTTTTCTAGCCCAGGCGCCGGGTTTTCAACTCTTCCACAAATCGAAAGATTTCACATTTGTGATATCATTTCAAAATATTTTCCTCCCGTTGCGCATATTCCTTTACGACTCTTTGTATCGCTTCCACAATTAAAACCGAATCTATAGGCATTCACTTTCAAACTTTGGCGTACAACAGGTTGAACAGCAAATACAGAATCGCTCAATATAAACAAACTATTTCGCAATCGGGAATATGCACTGCGATTACTGCTGGCGCAATATGTGGTGTTATGCGCGATCGCGATGGATCCAAAATTAATTTCAATTCGTTTCCAACTGAGAGCCCGTCGCGTCCCCAGTTGCCATTCAATTATTATTCTTTTAAGTAATTTTTGTATAAACAAAATAGCCGCAAGAGATATGTGTTCGGCTGGTGTTGGGGTTGTGTGGCGCACGTTCCCCGCGATAAAGAAAACTTCGAGAGAAGAAAAGGCCAACCGTCTGCGACCGAGCGTGGCGGCACACTAAGCAGACTCTCGCACGCCGGAAAAATCACGAAGAGCCAGCCGCCCGAACTCGAGAAGATATTGCACTGATCTGGGGGATCGCGCACGTGCGCGATGGGGGAAAGCTCTTCCCACATCGACCGGGTTTTGGAATGGGGTGGCTATCCACTGATACCAGCGACCCATATATTTTGCCAAATCGTCTCGTGAAAAATCAAAGTTTCAATCAATTAATGAACATTAATATTTATCATATATATTATAAATCTTAGGTATATTTTATAAACAATAAATCTAGGTATACAATATTAATAAATCACCGAAAATATCATAGAAATGATCGACTTTTTTTTTACAAGCTAAGTTAATGTTTTAACTTCAATACTAAAATTGTGCAACTCGAACTGGAAAGCTTGATAACTTTAAATCAAATATATTAATTTTCTTAGTTTAGTATGTCACATAAGAGTAACTCGTATTTTGTAATTGTATGTATGACTATAAAAAGTAATTCCGTAATAGCCCTTTTATGAATTTCAATGAGAACGGATTTGTAATACTAAGAATGAACTTGATAAGAATATAAATAAGACTGCTCAGAGCTAGAATTTCTGTAAGAATAACAAACGTTATGAAGGTCGCCCTAGAAGAACTTGAAAGAGTGTAGATTAATATTTGTAATTTCCTATTAAAATAAATTACTATATCACTGCCATAAGAACGAACTTCAAGTTTCTCCATGTATAATCATTTCTTACGAATTAAATGAGAACCCACAGATTGCAGGTCACTAATAACACGAACTGATAAGAATAAAAGACTCCTAGAGTTCAAATTTCTATCAGAACAACAAAAATGGCTACGCGTTAGCTTAATTTACTAAGAAAATTAAATAACATATAAGATCGTATACTAGACGCAACCAGCGGTTCAAAAATTCATTAAAAAAACATGGTGCAAGCATTAACTAAACGGAGGAAAAGTAGTCGCAGCTGCCGCACATGTTATACAGGTGTCCCGAAGAGGGTTCGATGAAGAATCGTAGGGCCTGGGTGCAATTGAGCTCGTGGCTGGCTATTTGCTGTTGTAGGAGTACCTGAAGCTGCTCCACATTGGCAGAGTGCTCAAACTGGATGCCACACTCGCACAAAAAGGCGCCTTTGTGGCGTCTTAGGCTTTTTATCTGACAAACTGGACACAGGACATCCTTTTGCTTCTCATCCGGCTCTACGTATAGGGTTTCCAGGTTCTTTTCACCCAGGGCATACCACTCGTTCACATCGGCGAGTAGTTCTTCCAGGATAAGCTGCTCCAGCTCTACATCTTTTTCCAACTCACTGAGCTCCAGACGAAGGATGTCCCTGAGTTCCGACTGGGAAGAAAGTAAGTTATTTATGGATGAAACTTTGGAAATCACTTGGTCTTACCAGTTGTATTTCGCGATTGGCGTCCGTGCATCTATTGCGGGTTTCTATAATGCGCTTGCGGTACTTCTATTGGGGTTATAATATATGGTAATTAGTGTTCTTAAGGGGAATACTATGGCTTTTACCTCTCGCAGCATTTCGCGTAGCTTTGGCATTTGCTTTCCCATTCGCTGCCTTTTGGCCACATCTTGAGCATGTCGTTTCTGCTCCACGGAGGTGTGATAAATCGGGTTTTGTGTGGAATTCATTTTATCACGTTCTTTATAGTAAAATTGGTTGGTTTTTGGACTGGACAAGTCCGTATCGTCAATTAGGTGGGCTGCCTTTCGATTCGGAAATGTTGGTGCATAAAAATAACCTGAAATACATAAAATATTTTAATTAATCAAGTGTAAAGTTAAAATCAATATGCTACCTTCAAAAAAAAACATTAAAAGTTGTTTTTAATGATAAAGAACAACATTTGTAAGAAGATAATTGTTAGAACCAAAAATATCAATTTACAGAACAAGGCCAGAAGTTAGAACGTACCTCTACCTATATCCCTAAATTTTTGTTATTACATTTTAGTAAAGAATACATTGTAGAACCAGTAGTCAGTTAATTACCCTATGAACGCCAAAATTAGTGTAATATTGTTCACAGCACACTATATGCAGTTGATATTAAACAATTTGCAAACATTTTAACGATTGCAAATATGGAACAACAAAGTTGAACACTAAAAATGCTAATATTTTCATTGTAACCGGTTAATGCAATGTGATATAAATACCAGGACAGACCAAATAAACCCGCAAAACCACACAAAACACTACTATTGTTACAAGCAAGCCATTATAATCAAAAAACCTACCTTAATTCCCGAAATTCCGCGCAATCTCCTGTTGATAGCCGCTAGAGATGGCACTTCTTCGATAGTCCTGCCAATTTAGACAGTGTGACCGCTTGCCAGAATCCCGCGTGTCACGTTCTCCCGCATCTTGCAACACTGAACGCAGGGTTGCACCGAGCCGATTTGACAGCTCGTAGATGGCGTATAGCACGTTTCCGGTCTTTCTTTCCCTTTCTTTTACCAGCGTGTGCAGTGACTAGTAAAAGGTTAGTGCGATATTTTCAATAAAAATACACCCGAACTTGCGAGGAAACCGCTCAAATGCAATCGTTTTGTGCCGCCCACAGATGCCTGCTCCGGTCGCCAAGAAGCCAGCAGCGAAAAAGCTGCCCGCTGTGCCGGAATCGAAGCTGAAGTTCAGGAAGAAACAAATCTCGAAGCGGGTGGCCGATTCGAAACGTCGCCTCAAGAAGGCCGCCGTGATTGCCCTGCGCAAGAAGGAGAACCTGGTGCGCGCCGAGAAGTACCAGAATGAGTACATCAAGGCTGACCAGCGGGAGATCAAGCTGCGCCGTCTGGCCAAGAAGCGCAACCAGTTCTACGTGCCCGCCGAGGCCAAGTTGGCCTTTGTGGTCCGTATCCGCGGGTGAGTCAAGGAACTAGCCTTAGCAATCCCCTCCAGCTATTCTAAACTGCTCCCTCCCTTAGTATCAACAAGGTGGCGCCCAAGGTGCGTAAGGTCCTGCAGCTGTTCCGTCTGAGGCAGATCAACAACGGTGTGTTCATCAAGCTGAACAAGGCCACCATCAACATGCTCCGCATCGCCGAGCCCTACATCACCTGGGGTTACCCGAACCTCAAGTCCGTGCGGGAGTTGATCTATAAGCGCGGTTTCGTCAAGCACAACCGTCAGCGTGTGCCCATCACCGACAACTTTGTCATCGAGCGCAAGCTGCGACAGGCCCACCAGATTCAGTGCGTCGAGGATCTTGTCCACGAGATCTTCACCGTCGGCCCCAACTTCAAGTACGCCTCCAACTTCCTGTGGCCCTTCAAGCTAAACACCCCCACCGGCGGCTGGCGCAAGAAGGCCAACCATTATGTCAACGGCGGAGACTTTGGAAACCGTGAGGACCAGATCAACCGTCTGCTGCGCAAGATGGTCTAAGGGATTCACCCAATCCATGTGCTGAAACAACAACAACAACAGCAGCGGTACGATGTAAACAGTGAGAGAAATAAAAGTTACTTTTATAAACCCACGAATTGCCGTTCAGTACAAAAACGCAGTGTTTTCGGTTCAAGGAGGTGATGTGGTAACTATGTGAAGGAATCGTATGCCAGTTGGATTTTAATTCTTGAGTGATAGTCTTGTTTTCAAGCTAAAGAACCGGTTGTTTCCCAACTAATCAGCTAAATATATGAAGTTTCTTTTTTGTCACATTTTTATCAATATTCTACATTACTTAGGCATTTAACTCCCTTTCCACAAGACTTATTCCGCAGAAACAATTATTAAACGTTCTTTAAAATCTGTAAATTAACTTCGAAAACGTTTCCTTCCTTGAAACGGCTGTCTTTGAAATTTATAATAAATGTAAAGTCCTCACTGACTATTAAATTAACCATTATCGTTAAATATTGTAATTTCTAAAGAATTTTTCTTGAAATGAGATAAGATTTTGACATGAAGTTACGCATTAGCTATTTGTATATGAAATTCTTGAATTCTATCTGAAAGTATAACCGAAAAGGGATTTTGGTTATTGGGTAAATGTGGAATATTAAAAACATAATAAAAGAACTAGAGATAGGTACACATGTAGATATTTTTTTAATTTCATTTGTTACCTATTAATTCCCCAAATGAATTAGCTTAAAATGACTTTTCTCCTTAAACCCAGAATTTCCTCGCATTAATGAAATAAACAAGATCGTTTTGAATTTGTCTACGCTCTAGATTGTTTATTGTTGTTCTGGTCAAATTTTAAGCGCGCTTAATGCACAACACTTAAATGCAGATAGCATGCTAAACTCTGGGTGCCATAGGGTAAAATCGTTAGCCAATCTTCACTTTATTGAATACAATATTTGCCTTTCAGCTGGCAGTGGATTTTAATAAATTTTTACACACACAATATAGTCCAAAGCAGGTAGCAAACAAACACAAATGAAGATTCCAATCGCATGGAAATTAGTCAATAATCGGGGGGAACTGGCACCCATTTAAATGTATAATTTAATTAATTGTTACCACATGAAGCACATGCCGTTGTCCGCCGTAAGATTCCCGGTTCTACTGGTGTCCGCCAGCCTGCGTGGTGGTCACGTGAATGTTCTGCACCAGGCGCTGGCCCCAGTACTCCTCCAGATCGAATGGCTTGAAGTTTTTCAGCTGATTGTCAGATTCGTTGCAGTAGAGCACAGCTGGGCTCTGTTCGTAGACCTGGAGAGAGAGCAAAGCATGAAGAGCAACCGAAAATTACAGCCGGGACCGTATCATCAATGGATTCAGTTTGTCATCAATCCTAAATTGTTTTCGAATGATTTGGTTTTACTTTGCAGGAGTGTCTCCTTTCGTAAGTGATAAAATTGTAAGTTGAAAAATTACTTTTTGGCAAACTTGCTTATTTCTTAAAACATTCTTTTCGAACTAACAGCTAAAAAAATATACTACGTATTGTATTATAATGAAGCTAAAACATGCGACTTAAATTCTTTTCACATTTCATAGTATTTTAGGAACGTATTAAAGAGATCGTGGAATACTTTAACACACCTTTGTACGTTATTTCTAACCTCAGGATTCAAAGGAATATTTTAATTATTCTGTGGCGAAATTTTATTTTTTTATGTATTTTTATCGAACCTATGGATTTATTATGGACATGTTAGATATTGGAGACAAGTATGGTATCTCAACTAAGAAAATCCTAATATATACAAAAATCGTAAACATATTTTAAAACCCTACCAACTTATACATGAAAAATATCGTGGCATACTCTTGAACACCTTTTTATGAGGAATGAAAATAATTATCGTTTGATCAGAAATGATAGAACATATCACCACTATTATATCTATACTATACTATATATATATACTATACTATCCTATTTCCATAAAACCTGCACACTTTAAACACCTTTAAAATTTATTTCAAACATCAGTCTTGGATAACTCAACATACCTTATTTAAGGGGTATAATAACAATGATTGATTGATCAGAAATGATAGTAGGTATGGCACTTCTATATCCTATCGTAATTCCCTAAAAATGATCAAAACTAGAAATGAGAATGACGACTGACTCATCATTGGCTACGGTCCCTGTTTTTTCGCGGGCAAAAAGCGAAGCACGGTGACTAGTGGGAGGTCATCTGGTTCCGAATATCGGGCACCTTACCTTATTCCATGCTTCCCGGATGTATCGGATCAGTTCGTCGTGCTGCGAGATTGGAAGGCTCTGTGGTTGTTGTTGTTGTTGTTGCCCGGCGGCTGTCGCATATAGGGCATTGCTGTTGTTGTGCGCCCCGACGGAAGGAGAACTACCGGCGCTGTGATTGTTGTATCCCGGAGAACTTAACGCCCCCGCCACCGAGTTGTTGTTGTGGTGATGATGGTAGCTGTGCGACGGATTGTGCCCGCTATTCTGTCGTCTTATGTTGTAGGGGTATCGTCTATAAGGAAGGGGAAATATTATTATAACATAATATATTAGAATAATGAGAGTGCGGCGAGTTCCCAAGCGAATATAGAGGTATAACATCTCTTTTATAAATAAAGATATCTAAAAGTATGCTACGATTTCTCTAAAGTGATTTCTTTGGCATCCCTGATACTATTTTACATAGCATACTTTAAGACACACTTGTTAGAGTTTTCAAATCTCTGAAGATTTGTTTTTTACACAACATCACAAGAGCCTGCATAAAACCAATATGGTTGCCAAGATCCAAAGTTGCCAAGACCAAATGCCACTTGTTACTAATCAATAAAGTACATTTATAAGGCGGGAACCCTTTAATGCCCAAACATTTTTGAATGATAATACCCATTTCATTAGAATATAATAAAAGTAACGGGTGTTGAGAGGAAGATCGGACATACAGACGTGCCATGTATATACCCGTGGATGTGCGTATGTGTGTAAACACTGTCTTTTGTCGTTCGACGCACACAGGGCAGTTCGAGCCAAAGTACCGTTTTACGATACCGCTCTGCGGTCCCGTTAATTTACCCGTTATTGCGATCCATATTGCCGGGTCTTTGTGTAATTTAAGGCTCCCAAAGTACTCTTGTTTATTGCAAATTATTTATATTCCGTACAAATCTTTTCTCTAGAGATGTAGAATCATCGATAGAAACATCGATATATTTGTAATTTTTGATAACATCGATATTTGACGGGCATTCTCGTGGTTTTTCACTTTATAAATTATAAAAATATTAATCCTTTTCCTTACCAAGAACAAAAATTTAGGTTAGCTAAAATAATTGTTTAAAAAACATTTTTGTATTTTAAAAATATGTGATTGCGATCATCGATGTTTCCCCACCCTTAAGTGTGACCACAGCTGGCCTGTAAAAATCTATTGAAGGAATACCTTTTACGTTACTTTACTTTACGTTATAATTTAAAAACAAAATTAAAAATTTAGGAAGGATTTTTAAGACCTGTGCCCTGTTAAATGGAATTACATACGTTTATTGGTGAAACATTGTCAGTGATGTACTTTAAAGGTCAAAACAGTGTATGTTCAATAAAAAAGTCCAGCTTTTATAAATCTTTTTTTCAATGGATTATATACTTATTATTCAATAGTTTTTATTGTGCTAGCTAGTATCTAAAACTTTTGAGCATTATAAGCACACCACATGTTTCTGTAAAAACTTTTTAAGCCAGGATAGCCCATGAGAATTTTTCTTAAAAATAACGCTTGTTTCCCATCTTTATTCTTAATTCTTAAAAAAGAATCCAAAAAACGTAGGTCAAAACATTGTCGTCATTTATTTGGAAGTGAGTCAACAGATTAGGGAATGTAAATATTTTTTTTTACTGAAAAATCCAGTTGGATTATTCATTCCATTTGTCATAGTTATCAGTACATTTATTTTTATAAAATGCATAACATATTTTTTCATCTATCTCTAAAATAAAGAATGCTTCACGTACATATATTACAATACAGGAAATGATAAAAGAGATAAAAGGTATCGTCGAATATTAATTTACAGATCATTTACAATAATTCAACATGTAGATATAAATAATGACGGTAAAACATGTCATTCATCTTGAGCATTCATTTCTTCACACCACATTTATGCGCCTTCATATTGCGCAAACCTTAGTTTAGACTTCGTAACATTTGCAAGTAGCAGAGAGAATAAAGTCTTTGTATTACACACATATAAAATCTTCAACCTTAGTCAAAAGAGTTGAGCTGCCTGTGCACCTACGCGTGCGGAGGGAAATCCCATTTAAACTAGTTTGGCGACTCTTTCCCCTAAAAGAGCATTCGTTTTGGCAACTCACGGCAAGCATTATATTAGCACATTCATAGATCATCATCCCCGATGCCTTCGAACGCCTCGTTGGCCACCCTTGATCCAATGTCTACGTCGTTGCGGAAGAATACGGCTCCAAATGTGCGGGAGGTAGCGAACCTGGGTTTGGATCTGGGTGCCGAGTCCTCGGACAGAAACCTAACAGGCGGCGTTGTGGGCGCCGTGGACGTAGAGCACGAGGAAGACGCCCACGTCGACGTGGAGCAGGTGGAGCTGGGCGTAGATGAGGACGAGGTCACTGGCGTCCGATCCTGCTCCTCGTCACTGCCGGGATGCGTCCCATCGCCTCCGGAGTTGCCACGCTGCAGCAGTTCGTCGACCATCGACTGCAGGCAAACGGACATCAGCATGGCCTGCTCACTGTTGATGGTTATCCAGCGCAGCGTCTGCTTGCCAATCAGATACTCGAATGCCAGCTGAAGGTGCGTGGGCGGCAGCCGCGACTCCAGTGCGTTGTGGGTGACGCTAACGCGCCACGACCGCATCCTGGTCACACGGAACTTGGTTTCGTAGATCTTGGCACCACGTGCCGTTCGCAGGGCCAACTCCTTGTTGCCAATGCTGACCAGCGCCATAGTGTTCGGCTCCGGATAGTCCACCTGCGCCTCATCGAACTGCAGGCAGCCGTAGGAAGGCAGCTGACGCACCAGCTCCATGTACTCTCGCGGTCTTCCCTGCATCTGTAGGCTGCTCAGCTGGCGACCCTCTCCGGGCGAACAAATGACCACCCACTCGCGATTCACATCCGCCACGGTCTGGTTGTACAGCAGGCTCAGGGACACCTTGTTGCCAATTAGTTTGGCATCTCTACTTGAGTCCCAGTAGCAGGTACGGAGCAGCAGCTCGCAGGGGTCTCCATGGAGACGCGTTATGTACGGCGATTCAAAGTCCATGAGACGTCGCACCAGGTGCAGTTCATCGGATTTTCTCTGGCGTCGCACTAGGAACAGGCAGAAGAAGCGCATCAGCTCCTCGGGCAGCTGGAGATCCTGGCAGACGCTCTTCAGAAGCGCACTGGCGTTCTGCTGCACCGAGCAGCTGACCAGGATGCGTTCGCTCGAAGGATTCGTGTAGACCTGCACCTCCAGCTGCTGTTCCTCACAATCGCTGATTACCATGCCCTCGGCCAGGGCCGTGTCCAGTTGGGCCCGCTGCAGGAAGTGCTGCAGATGGGCGGATCGGGCGAGACGGTTGTCCTGACCCACCGCCTGCAGGTACTGCTCCAGGGCACTGCGACGCGCCTCCAGTTGGCCATTGGTGAGCGGCAGGAGGCGTTTGGGGGGAAAGGGCGGCAGGGGAACGCCCACACAGTGCCTGCGCAGCTGCTCGTTCAGCGAGTGCAGCTGTTTGTAGCGCAGGACGCAGTGGGGGCTGCCGTTGATGTGTATGTTGTACGCCGTGTAGGTGGGCGAGGAGCCCAGCTCCTGGCTGTCCGGTATGGAAAAGTGCATCCTGCTAGTGTGCGTCGGCGCCCGGCCAGCGGTTCACTTGTGCATGGCCAAGCTGCTCCTCTGCTAAGCGCAATTGCTCTCAATTCAATTAATTCAGCTTCAATTGTTCACTTTTTTGCTGCCAGCGAGTGGGACCGTACGCGCATACTCACAAAATACCAAAACGGTAAACTCCAGTTTTTGAATCCGTAGACCGTAAAAATTAAAAATGGCGACTGTAACTGAATGTTAAGTTGCACTGTTAAGGATTTGAATTTTCACTTTTAAAATAAAAACATGAATATTTTATTTTATATCTTGCTTTTTTCTATTAAACACTTTAATAATAGCAATGTCTGCATCAATTCTGTAATTGTTTTAAGTTTTTAACCAATTACAATATTTTGCTAAACACTTTTTACAACATTTTTAAGGGGAAAGGATGTCAAAGTTGGAAATTTTCAAACGAATATTATTCTAAACTCTTCAAAAAATATTTTAGGCAACTTTTTTTCCCTTCATCGCACCTAAACTGTAAAGTTTTGGATTACACTACTGATCCAGTCCATATAGTAAGATACATTTGTGTAAACTCCTATTCCTCTACAATGCGCAGATCCATAGCTGATAATGCCGAACTGGGTATGCCGAAGTGTTCCCTGGTAATCTATCACCGCGCTCATTGGACCACCCGAATCCGCATCACACGAGTCGCTAGTGGAACTACCGGCACATATCTGGGTTTTATCAACCTGCTGCCCAAATTTACGCTTGCATAGCCTGTGATCCAATTTGTATTGAGTGGCTGTCTGTAGTATTCGGCTTGGGATACTTCCTACATCAGTTTTACCCCATCCGGTTATGTTAAATTGTGTAATGTTTTCCATATGCTTATTGACAAGAAGGCAAATCGGTCTAATATTTTCTAAAAAAAAAAAGATTTAAGTTCAGAAGGTCCTTGTCAAATATTCGATTTCATTACCTGAAAATTGCACCTCATTTTTCATTCGAAGCAGAGCTATGTCCGCCGTGAAATAGCCATAATCCTTGTGCATTATTTTTTTATCGACATCAATTTCATAGGCTTCTGGTATGCAATTTCCCGATGGCGTGCAATCTACCCCAGAATTCTGTGTATTGTATTCGCCCAACCGCACCTTCCTGCGAAAAGAAAGTTTAGAAAACCTACGGAGAAATAAAAACTCTGACACATACATTGGAGAATTGAATAAGCAATGCGCGGCCGTCAGAACAAAACCTGCAAAATTGTGGTGAATTGGTTTTTAACTAACTTCAAAATTAATTATAAACAATAACGTACGAGAAGTAATGAGCGAGCCGCCACAATTTTTCTCACTGATCACCAAAACCATCCATGGATTTGAGTTTATATCAGCATCTTTACCACCAAAAATCTTGGGACGAATATACGTAGTTGTTCCACAATTGGATTCTAATAAGGATGCTGATCCTTCTTTAGTCCCAAACAGTAGGAAGACTAAAGCCAAAGCAGCACCTCCCGCTAAATAGACCGTCATGGTCATGTTTCAACGAAGACTGAATGAAAAGAGTCCGGGTCGAACCCTTTTTATCGCAAATTTCTTAAATTGCAAAATAATACAAAAAAATGGTATGTTGAAGCTTATCATATCGTTTTAAACCCGTTACTCATAGAATAAAATGTTCAGAAAAACAAAAGGATATTCGACCCTATAAAGTATATCCTTAATTAGGATATTAATCTAGCTATGCGGTTAGGTAGGGGTTTATTAAAATTTATTGACAAATTAGTATCAATTAATGTTATTTTTAGGCAATCTCATTTAACAAACTGTATTACAAGTCAACTGGATACTGAACTTCTCCTTTAAGCATAACCACTCCAGAGGGATTTACTTTTACTTTGATTTTAGTGTTGGGATATAAAACACCATAGTCCACGTTTTCGTAAAGGTCCTGAAAGATTTTTGATATAAATGTATATTTAGTGAATATTACTAAAAACATACCTCTACTCTGTATCCAGAGAAATTAATAAGACCCAACTCCTTTAAAGTAACTGATATATCCGAAGGGGTTCCATCCGTTCTTCGATTAACAAAGGCAATTGCGTAGGAGTAAAAGTTTTGGTACAGTGGGCCAATAGGTCTTGACCAAATCTCAATTCCCTTATGTTTATAAATTCGTCTTCCTTGTATACCAAGCGGATCTTGATCCACTGCAATTATTTTTCGGTTTTGTAAAATATGCTTAAACTGCGGACGAATCGTTCTTAAGTCCACTGACATCAAAAGAGGAGCAGCCAAAATTGACCAAATTGCGAATTGTGTTTTGGCTTGCTCATAACTTAGTCCAAAGTTTCCAATGATCAACTGAAATTCAAGTGAAAAAATCAGAATTAGATAAACTAACCCCGAAAAAATCACAATACCATGTCTGGATCATTCCAATGACCAGGTCCTGCATTTGGAGCTATTAAATCCTGATTATTGCCATAGTAATCGATTATATTCTCCACAGAAGCCCAGGAGTCCTGGATGTCATCGTAGTTTCTCCAAAGGTTGCAATGGGTTTGGATTGCCGAATAGTTTGGCTGTATTCCAGCATATATCTGATACACGGGCCAGCTACAAGAATATACCATCGCTTTGCCTGTACTATTTAGAAGCCTTCCGAATGTCGAATAACCCCGGTCCATGTCATAGGGCAGTGCATAGCAGCCGTCTAGTTTTACATAATCCACATTCCATTCTGCAAACTGAAGTGCATCCTTATCTTCATAACCTATAATGCCAGGATACCCCGCGCAAGTATAATTTCCGTAGTCCTCGTATATTCCAAATTTGAGGCCCCTGGAATGAATCTTGATGAAAAAGTATAAATAAATTACTGGCGGAAACACAGGAAGCACTGTTAGTCAAGATAATTATGCGTTCGAATTAATGGAATTTCCGCTAGTTATACTTTACTTTCCTAAATTTGTACAGTGATAAGAAATTTATTTTTCTTAAGAAAAATTTATTTTTAGCGTTAAGAAATGCAAATACTTATTTACACTGGGAAAAACACAATAAACCTATGTTAATTTCGGTAATTCTAGTCTTTTAATTTGGAATTTTTTTTGATAAATGCGGATTTTTTTCTCTTGTATTAGAATAATAAAAATTAATTAAAAATACAAAAAATAACTAAAAGTGCCATTTGTATACTCACATAGTCAGACAAAGCTTTGATTCCATTAGGAAACCGTTTGCGGTCAGCTACTAATTTTCCATCATGACTGCGGTGCTTTTCTAACCAGCAATCGTCAATATTTATAAACTCATAGCCAACAGATGCATATCCATCAGCGACGACAATATCCGTCATTGTTTGAAATAACTGTTCACTAAATTATAAAAATCAACAAAGTTAAAAAATAATGTAAAAACATTTATAAGTTAAAATTAATTTTAAAAATTAAAAAAACAATGATCCTAATTTACCTTATGCAATTATCTGGATCGTTTACGCAGTCAGTATTACACCGAAATCTTTCCCACGAAAGCCAACCCATTGGGGGAGTTTTAGCGAGTCCATTGTCTAGGCAGTTACACAAGGTGCTACTCAATAAAATGGTCCAAACAATATATAACATCGTTTTCTAAAAGTACAAATTTTAAAAATTTACAAATAATTTAAGTAATCAAAAAATATTTATTTGAAAACCAATTATTAATAAACGAAGTATAAATCACGCTTTAACTCCAATCGTTCCAATATATTTAAACATATTTTATAAATTAATTGTCTAATTTCTTTATTATTAAATGGGCATTTATAATATTAAAAAACAGAAATACACATAAGGTACATTAATTTTATTAAAACCGTCTGGCAACCCCGTTTAAGCCTGGCTCATGGGTTCGTTGAACAATGGGTAATTTCAAGAGAGGAAAAAGAGAAAAAGGTCTGGGTCAGTAGAAGAGCAGAGCTGAGACTCTAGATGAGTACCGATATTGTTCTCACTCTTTTGTACACGATATAATAACAACAAAGAAAGACAACATAACAATAGCTCCATAAATTAATTCACAACATGGTGTTATATATTATCCACATACACACGAATGCAAGCAAATCAAACTGCTTTTAAAAACCAATTAAAATATGATAATCGAACTAATCCAAAGGTTCAGATAATTTTGGGTTATCTGCACAAACGCACTCTGTGCAAATTTAATTGTTGTCAATTTTATCCGCACATACACTTAAAAGAAAAAAATAAACTAGTTTGTGAACAGATATGTGTGGTACATACCGATGATTTCTATTTGTATATTTGCAGCGCAATTAAGTAATTGAGTTTTCCGCATTTGATCCGGTTTCTCAAAGCTAATAAGACCTTATGGTGGTTTTTCCGATTGCTGCTCAAATACTTTAATTTGTACACCTCAATTGTTTTACGGTTTGCTGTTTAATTCGGGCTTAATAAGTTATTTACACAAAATCCAGTATTAAATCGATTATAAAGTGTTTGCAAGTCATTTTGATTACTTTTGATTCCAAAGAAAAACAAATGTGGCAAGTGCAAGAACTTAGTTACACATACAAATGGAGATATGTATACCTTGGATACGTGTATACACATTTATATAAACACTTAAATTAAAACCAGTTATTTTAAGAGTTAAGTATTTTTGGTATGGGGATTGTTACCTTTAAAGTTGTGTGGCGACAGAGTGCTCATCCACTATTTTTTTTTTCTGTAAAGCAACATTAATCGAACTTAAAATGTTTTTTAGTAAAACTTGCTTTACAAAATTAACACATTTATCATATAATTTTATTAAAATATTAATGAAATATGTATATACGTTTAATCATACACTTATGATACTTATTCTAGTTTGTACAGAATTAAAAAAATGAATAACTAATAACCATTGATAAGCTTTATAAGATTCCGGTCTCGAATAAATTGACATTTCTGCTCAAATTGTTGCAGCGATTCCTCCATCTTCATATATTCGTTATTTATCATTTTGTTGTTCTTACGGATTTGATTCAGGAACTTATCCATGACGGAAGAGTCTTCCTCTGGAAGAACTAGAAAACAAATACATATATTATTATGCAAATCTTGTATATTATTATTATACTTTTTAATATTTACCTTCCTGGCTTTGTTGCATTACAGGTGGAGTTCCAGTCGATATCGTTGACAGGTTCGAACGTCCAATTTTTTCACCGCTTTCTACAAACTGAGCGATAACATTACGGAATTTCTCGGGAATCAGAAAGAGTCGATCAACGTTGCCCTTCTTGTAACATAGATAAGCACTCTTCATTTGAAACCACTTTCTTCGGATTTGAGTGGGGGATTTATTTGGAAAACCTCTCTTTTTCATCTGGTTGGCAATCTGGATGAATGTGTACTGCGTGGTGCTCGTGGACAGGGCTCCTTGGCAGTTATTTACTTCCTTTATCAAGTCGAGCATGCATTCGATTTCAGCGGAAATCCAAAAATTTCTTTTCAGCTTTTCAGACTTCATGGTTGAGTTAATTTCCAAAAAATAAAAATAAATAAATTGTTCTTGCAAATAGTGTGACCAAATCGTGAGAACCTTATTACACCGGAAACGATAGAACTATTAGCATGGCGGTATTTATTATCCCGCTGAATAGCTAGAAATGTTAAAACATTAAATTTAAAAAACAAAACATTTTTTAAAATACACCTGGAAACTTCTTTATCTTAGAGATACATTTTATCTATGTAAAAGAGGCGACTAACTAAAGTGTGGAAATCCAATAAAATGTTTCACATTCAAGAACAAATTTAAATATTGACGTAACATTCAAAAATGTTTAATGTAAAACTAGAAACCATCTTTGTTTAAGTCGTGTGAAATATATGAATTTTTTTAACACTGTCAAAACTTGTAGTTTCAAGTTTCATGGAAATATTGACCAAAATTCTAACTCGATTTAATAGTCATTCCAAATTTAAATAATTTTTAAAAACAAAACTTGTTTTACATTTTGCAAAAAATACCGCACATTTTATGGTATCATTTATCGGTGACATGTGACAACCCTACCCGTATTCGCACGCCTGTTGCTTGTTCTGCCTCGTCTGATGTTTTTGTAAAATATTTCCGCGAATTGGACTAATTTTGGTTTATTTAAATAGGTGACACAGGTAATAATACATCGCATAATACATTGTCATAAGGAATGTATTAGTTAATAGCTTTCACTTAACTTTAATACCTTTGTTTACATTCTTTCCCCAGAAACGTGTTGCGAAAGTGTAAATAATGGAGTCCAAGTACTTGGCCACCAGCAAATGCGATGCAGGGGGTCCATCGCCCGTAAAATTCTCCATTAAACGAAAACACGATGCCCTGAGCAATAGTCCTGTTATTGAGAAAAAACCGCATGTAGCCCAAATAAGGCAAAAAATAACACCAATTCTACTGACCAGCAAAAGAACCTCAATCGAACAGCACCAGAGATCATTGCCTGTCTTCAACTGCCGCCAGAGGATCCTCAAGGAACTGGAACAGAATGACACCGTGCTGATCATGAGTGAGACGGGATCGGGAAAGACCACCCAAATCCCACAGTTCCTTCTGCAGGCTGGTTACGCCAAAAACGGAATGATTGGAATAACCCAACCTCGTAGAGTGGCGGCCATAACGGTCGCCCGTCGAGTCGCCCAGGAATTATCGGGAAACATTGGAGATACAGTGGGCTATACGGTTCGATTCGAGGATGCTACCTCAAAGGCCACCAAGATACGATTTCTCACCGATGGCGTTTTGCTGCGAGAGTCCATCAAGGATAGACTTTTGCTCAAATACTCTGTGATCATTCTGGACGAAGCTCACGAAAGAACAGTCAATGCAGATCTATTGTTTGGGATAGTAAAGGATGCCCAGAAGGAGAGACGGAAGAAAAAGCTGGGCAATCTTAAGGTGGTTGTTACCTCGGCCACCATGGATATAGATCACTTTGGAAAGTACTTCAATTGCAAGGGAATGTATCTGGAGGGCAGGACGTATCCCGTCCGGGTTATGCACACCAAGGAGGAGCTCGAGGATTATGTGCACACCGTGCTGGTTACTCTCTTTCACATTCATCGTACCACACCGAGAAAGTAGGTATCCAAAAGTCCAAATATCACTTTAAAATAACGTGGGATTCTTATAGAATTCGATCTATTTTTTTTAAATGGTTTCCTTTTCTAAAATACTTTAATTTTTTATATATTATACAACGTACTAAACAAAACCATTTAATATTACAGCCATGACGTTTTGATATTCCTAACAGGGCAAGAGGAAATTGAATCACTGGCCCAACAAATTCGGCAGCTTGCAAAGGTTAGTCTTTCTCTTACAAAACTCTTTCTCTTTTATAAAGATAATCAAATTATTTCCATATTATTTCAGATGGACATGAGTGGAACTACTGATCTCCGCGTATTTACGTTATACGCCCAATTATCGCAGGGCAAACAATTGGAGTGTTTTGTCCCAACACCGGCCAACGTTCGGAAAGTAATATTGGCCACAAACATTGCCGAAACCTCGATTACCATACCCGGCATACGTTGTGTGATTGATTGTGGGTTTGTAAAAGAGAAATCCTTCAATACCGCCGATGGATTGGATGTTCTAAAGTCAGTGCGGATATCTAGGGCGCAAGCCTGGCAGAGAACAGGACGAGCAGGTCGCGATGCGGATGGAACTTGCTACAGGACTTATACCAAAAGAGAAATGGACTCGTTTGCCGATGCCACACAGCCAGAGATCCTGAGAACGAACCCAACCTCAATGGTGCTACAGCTACTCGCCCTAGACATTGATTGCAATAATTTTGACTTCCTAGATGCTCCACTCGAAGAGGGACTAAGGAGTGCATACAAAAGTCTAGAGGCCCTGGGAGCTATTAAAGTTGGAGCAGTGTCACAAATTACACCTCTGGGTCGTCAAATGGTCCAGTATCCCTTGGATCCCAAATATTCAAAGCTACTTCTAACTGCATCCTCCTTCGGTTGTATGGAGGAGATTCTAAGCCTCGTCTCTGTCCTATCGAGTGATCATGTTTTCGTTTCTAATAGCGATAAAAATGAAATGGCCGCCCTAGCTCATGCTAAGTTTCAATCCAAACATGGCGATCATTTAACGCTACTAAATGTGTTTAATGCATTTTCTAAGACAGAAAAGCCAAAGGTATTAATAGCTAACAAAGTTATATTAAACTGTATCATTTATATTGGTCTTGCTTTTCATTTCAGATGTGGTGCCATGACAACTATTTAAATTTGCGTAGCTTAACCTACGCCCGAAATGTTCGTCGCCAATTAACTGAAATAAGTGAGCGACTACATCTAGCCCTAAACAGCTCCGATGACATTGAAACGCTAAAGAAATGCATCTTAAATGGGTTTTTTGAAAACATTGCCGTCTTGCAACGAGATGGTTTCTACATAACCGTTTCCGGCAACATCAAGGCCAAAATTCATCCGTCAAGTGTTCTGCATGGAAAGTACAAGCCTAGCTACATACTCTTCACCGAAATTGTCCAGACGGAACAAACATTTCTTCGCCAAGTCACTGAGATATCCATTGAATGGATTCAGGAAATTGTGCCGTTTGTTAAAAATATACCAACAAGATAAAATAAAGTACAAAGCTGTTGAAAATACGCTGTGATTTCAATATTATTTAGGGTCCAAAAGAAAAAAGTCTTACATTTTCTTTGGTATTCGAGTCTTTTTTATTTAGAGTGTGGGAAAATAACAATAAATGTAACAAAAAATATATATAAAACCCGACATTTGTTTGTTTATATTTATTATACCTTAACCAGTTAACATTTAAAATATTTTTGAGATTATTACAATACAACTATGGGATTGATTTATAGAATTCCCGCTAGCGCTGTTTCATGTTCGGCAGCAGCAACCTGGCTATGATATCTTAGTCTAGCATTACTTACAGGAGCCCCTGGAAATAAAACAAATAAAATAACCATATTACTATGAAAGTTTAGATTTACTCACCAATATAACTTAACAGAACCGGGAGAAAGATCAGGCCATGCGCCGCCCCAATGACTACAATACCTAAATACATGCGGAAATAAAACACTTGGAATATCTGACTTTTAGCAAAAGCTAGCACCAGAATGCCTGCAAATTTGGTTAGCGTAATTCCGGAGAAGATGGAACTACCCATTTTTGATAGGCTATCTGCTGCCCGATCAATTTGACTAACTGATTTTGAAGTAGCGAAGCTGTGCACCAAGTGCGAACAAAATTCTACAGATATACCGACAGCCATAACAAGATTAACTAACGAAACAGCGTTCAACGAAATGTTCCAATAATACATTAGGCCTCCTAGATTAACAACAATCATGGTTATTGTGATTACAACAACTAATGCGGAATGAACGTCGAAGCCCATCAAAATAAATGTAACAAGGAAAATGGAAAGAACTGAAACACCCATGCTCTGCAAGGTATCCGACCACATGGTTAGATATTGTTCGTAAAACACATAGAATACTGAATAGGGAAAAACTTCGACCGTCAAGGCCGTTTCCATAGGAACTCCGTTGGACATTAATCTGCCCTGCAACATTTGCGTAATATTAGCCGATATCTTTCTGGCTGATTCCAGCGCCAGAAAATAGTCAGCCGAGGATTTTAGTATGGTGTGATAGGCCATAAAATACGACGTCTCAATGTTCAGTCTTTCATGGCTATAGGAATACCGAACAGCTCCACCGTAGGCGGCATGGCCGGCCTTGGCGCACGAGTCGTCGGGATTATCCTTGAGGAAAAATGGGAAATACTTTTCAAAGTCCTTTTCGCCCGGCCGTGAAAGGGAATTCTGTGTGATATTACACCTTAAGCAGGAAGTATCTGAAAGAAGTATTGCATTATTAACCATTTTATGGTTATAACTATGGATAACTCACCTTGATGGGGACAAAATTCGCCAGTATCCTTTCTGTATTTGCAGCAGGAACTTGCCGCTGCTGTCCAGCCAAAGTAATCATCGATCCAACTGGATGCCGGACGGGCGATATAGGTCTGGTTTGAGTGCCTACTAGCTAAGTAAATTTGCGTGAGAACGCTGTCATCGTTGCAATATTGACCTGCACAAATTAAATTCTGATTCGAACTATTTGTATAAGCTAAATCACCTTTAAGGACAAAGTAAACCGGAGGGCCAATGTTGAGATTCTCGTTCAACGATTGGAAATAATGTAGAACGAAACTATCCTGCGGCATGGCCAATTCTTGGTCCAGTCCAATGTCAATTTTGGGGGCAATGGCAATACTAAAGCACAGCCAGGCAAAAAAGATAACCATTACACTGGCTCGCACTACTTTCTTCATTAAAAAGGGAACGTAGACACTACTGAAAAATTTGTACAAGAGTCCCTCATTGTTGATTATACTATCTGGTTTCTTTCCCTTGATGAAACAACAAATGTCCATTCGATTCTCCTCCTTGCGTTTCGTATCTAAAGTGAATAGACTTACGAAACAGGTTATTTGCAATATAAAGTCAATGATAAGGGCTACGCCCGCATATAAGGC